CCCTAACCCTAACCCTAACCCTAACCCTAACCCTAACCCTAATAACCTATAAGTTCTTACAGCTGTTTTACTAGGCTACCCTAGAACAGCAAATAGAATAGGCATCAATCGATCAGGTGCTGGAGAATATAGATATTCTCTTTAAGCAGTTTAAGGATGCCAAGGTAAGGACCAACAGTGTAATCAATTACTAGGAGTTTCGCTAATAGTAAAGCAGGTTAAATACGTAGACAACGCGCACATAGTTAATTCCGTGCATATAGGCTGGTGGGTTCTCTCGAAGTATTACAAGGAGAGCGACAAAAATCCTATATATACCACGGCATTATTGCTCCACCCAGAAAAGCGCCGGAGGTACCTTGATCGCTACTAGGCTGAGGAATGGCAGCAGACAGCTATTGATGGCGCACAGCGCCTTTAGGCGAAATACAAGGACCGGCCGCTCTCGTTGGAGTTGGCTTGTTTAGGTAACGAACAACGGGAAGCAACTCCATACAAGCGAATCAAGCAATCAATGAGCGTCTTGGATACACCTAGCGATGAGAATAAATTCGAAAAACTCGTCAATTCTCCGCCGAGACATATAATGACAAAAACGCCGCTTGAATAGTGGTGCCGAGAAGAACAGAGGATGGAGTACCCACGCTTGCACCAAGTAGCAGTAGACGTGCTCAGTGTGCCGGCGATGTCAGACGACCCAGAACGGGTATTCTCTTGCACAAGGCGGACCATCTCTTGGGACAGGGCACGGCTCTCGCCCGGCACTGTTGAGGGGCTGCAATGCCTAGGTGATTGGGTAAAGAATGACTTGATCCGCAAACTCTACGTCGCTGTGGACGACGAAATCATTAATGTTACTGGCAGCGATAGTGTAGCCGACCCTTCAGGACTATATTTATAATAATTCATAAGCCTAACAAGACATAAAATATAACAGTAGAACAGTAAATACATAAGAATATGTTAAAATTATGTATTTATTTATTACTGAGATGTCTAAACAGGAATTTTGCTTGATATAACATAATGCGACACACAGGACACTCATGCCTAATTAGGCGGCAAACGGGCGCTCTGTTTTATTATTGGTCCGGTTGTGGGGCGTAATAAGTCTATAGTGGGGAACAATGTATGCATGCACCTCGGATCCTGCCAAACAATCAAAACCTCCCTCCCTCACGACATCGTTCACGGTCGCTTCGATATGGCCGACAAGGCGGCAATTGATAACTGCCATAAGGCGCAGTCCCACGATTTATTGGACAGCTCCGGTAGTACACCTCCCGATCGTCTAATTGACTTGCCTTTAACCCCTCCCGCCACGATTGAACCACACCTGCCGTCCATCGACGCCTCTGGCCCGGTTCTTCGTTTGCTTGAATCACGCAGCGATCGAGCAAAGACTGTCGACTCTGGGGGTTGGGTTGAAGTTTCTCTCGATCAGGAGCAATACGTCTCACTGCGCGGAAGCATCGAGCGGTCGTTTAAGCGATTTGATTACGACCCAAATCACAGTCTCCTTATTCTCCGTATGCCTTCGCCTATTCACGACTTCTTTGCGAATATCCTAGCCGACGACGTGCAAAACCAGCTTAAAGACATTGCCAAAGAGAGAGATGAAGCAGGCACCTTCGCGTCGAGAATAAAGAGCGGAGGGTCGTCTACTATTCTTTTGTCAGAAGGGGATTCTGAATTCTTTAAAAATATACGTCGTGAGCCTGACGCACAGTTTCGTCACCCTGATGCCTATTATCCTGGTGTTGTAGTAGAGGTATCCTACTCGCAGAAAGGCAAGAGTCTACAAAAACTTGCCCAGGACTACATTCTCTACTCTAATGGAGATATTAAAGCTGTTATTGGCGTTGACATTAACTACAAAGGGAAACAATGCACTGTTTCTGTATGGCGTCCAGAATATACAAGGTCGGAAGATGGGAATAGTGACGAACTAGGATTTACAGCAGTCTTGTCACAAGAGGTACGTAGAAAAATATCTATAGAGCAGGACCAGGCTGACCAAGCAGACATTTCGCTCATTCGACGGATCCTTATGTAATGCAGAAAAGTGCCTCACTCTTAACCTTAGCGACTTCGCGACCGATGCACTAGCTATTGATTATGGGACAGCATCAATATCTATTACTTTCAGCAAACTCTTTGATATGATTCAACAAGCCGAGGAAATGGAACCAGACAGAGGATTTAATACGGCGGGAAGCGCTATGAAGTCAAAAAGAGTAACGAGGAAGCGCAGACGATTATCCAGCCCAGAAGATCGGTTGCGTTCAGACGATGAACGCACGTATATCAACATGGAAAAGGCTGCCGAGGCCAGAGCTAGTGAGGACGACGAGGATTTCAAAGGTCCAATGACCAAGCGGAGAGTGAGGAAGTTTTCACCTAAATAGTAACAGGAATCGTCCTGCTTCAAGACAAAAGCATATAACCTAGTAAACAGCACTAGAACACTACTTACTTTAGTCCTCAATACATTGCCTAGGAATTGCCGCTGCATTGATAGTACATGTGATAGATACTCTATGATTCAATCCCCGCCCGCCATTCGAGCCGGTCTGTGGGTAAAGCAAACCCTGATATGGCAACTGAGTCATGATTCGAGTTAAATAGCCTGCGGGGGCCATCCTCCCACCTAGTAATCGGAGACCATGAGTCTATGACCTACTTAGGCTTGTTCAACAGTGGTGTACTTGATCAACTCAGAGCATGGCCTGGTAGCATCAAGCTGCTCGCTGAAATTGGGAAGCTGTAAGTCATAAAAGTTTCTCTGCTAGGGCTCAGATAAGGGTACGTATTGAAAGTCAACAGACGGAGATTCTCAGGGGTCATGACCGAATATCAGGGCACCAAATTTGCAAGGCTTAGGCAGGTTCCACAGAGAGGAACACCAATCATCAAAACAGCATGTTCCGGGCTTCCAGCTTCCAACCACACAAACGATAACCTCAAACTCTCACCCCTGTGCAGGTTCCCCATTAATGTCGTAGTGATTCTAATATTTCGGTGCCACAGATTCAAAGCCTGGACGTTCGACGCGTCGGATTTGCTGTGTTGCCAGTTGCTGGAAATAACCCAAACGTGAGAACTAGCATCCTTCTTTAGAGAAAAGCTAGTGAGGATGACCGGATGTAGACGAGCTCTTTAGAAAAGCTGAGCCGGTTGCCATGATGCTGATCCTTCGGATTGCGACCTCATCACAATTAAACTCGACGCTGACTTGCCTGGCGCGTATCATTGTGCCCACTCTGCGACAGCTGTCTAGCATTTCACTAGCATTTAAATACGCAAACACTGGGCGGGAGCTACTAATAACTAGTAACGAGCGCATGACTTATCCACCTATCTGGCCTACGGCCCAACCTCTGGCTTGACATGGGCGGAGACATTTCGGAAATAACTAGCCAGTGTAATATCCACTTCGCCCAAACTTTCCGTTTGCTATAATGTTCTCGAACTAGAGCCACCACTTCAGGACGGCAGAACCTTGCCGTCAAGCTTAACCTAAGCAAGGCTGGAGTCTAGTCAATATTTATCTTAGTCGTAAATCATGCCGTCAAGAGTCAAGACCAGCCTCCTACTTGCAATGTAGTTGTTATTCGTGTTTATCTCCTTAGTCACTAGAACGAAATTTGAGAAGGCGACGAAAGATTGGAGCCTGAGAGCATGCTGGACGTGGGCATTTTTTGGAATCGAATTGAAATCTCCCCAGACATTGGGTGTATGCAGCCTGTCCGAGATGGGGCATTTTTCTAATCGTAGTCGTCACACAAATCAAAGCTGCGCTAAACTGCGCCAGTTTACATTTACAATCATGTAAACTCTATTCCATTGGAGGCGCTTGGCCGAAAAATCGACGATATCTATCCACACGGAATGTAAACTTCGCAAAGGACAGTAATGTCATGGATTTCCACTCTAACGAGGCCTAAGAAAGCAGTCCCAGCAGTCTTTCGGTCGTTGATTTTAGTGGCAACAAGAAGACGTCTACATTAGGTTTGGGAAAGGGAATTGCTACACGGGCATGACACTTTGGCTACACGGGCATGACTCTTACACGGGCATGACTTTTACCACTTCTGATTGGTCGCATTGTCTCTGTTAACGACGCTGGATTCTGCCACCTCAGCCGCAAGTACCTGGGCCATTTTAACCTTGCTTCTGTGTAAATTACTTCATTTCGGCTAAGCTACTACGCAGCAACCCAGTGGTCGCGCAGTCGGGGCGACCCCCTCGAGCTTGCTTTCTTCATTTTCGTAGCTTTTAATAAACCATAATACGGCACCCTATGCTGTAGAGATAGCGACCAATTCTTTCACTACAATCTTGTTCTCTTCTCAAGACGTCAATGTCTTTGCCTCGCACACCTCCTCGCAGGTCGCGGAGCCCTAGTCCCAGTGATCAATCACAAAGAGGAAAGCGACACAAATCCAGTCGGCGACGCAGATCTAGTCCTTCCACAGTTGAAGACCGACCACAATCCGCGAGTAGCTCTGCTACGAGTATCGGTCAGTTCTACGGCCTCGGGGACGAAAATGCACTCGATAACCTGTTCGCCTCTTTCCCGCAAACACTTTCAAGTCTCCCACACCCCCATGGTTCACAGGGCCGCCATGAGCCTGCATGGGGCCTTCGATCTGACTATGAGATATATCTTCAAAATGACTTCTTCCGTGGAAAAAGATGGAGCCAGCGAGTCAGAGCGCTTATACCAGGCCCAGAATTTGATCCATTCGCCTCTGAACCTCCCGAATCACCCCCATCCGCCCAGCATCTCCCAACAAGGACAAGAGCCGAGTTCGAGTCCGCAATGCGCATAGTACGAGAGGTTACCGGCGAAGGTCGAAGGCTAACTGTAGACCTTGCTCGATCATACGAACGTGTACAAGCTTGGCGAGAGAGATGGGGATGGTCACCATTAAGTTTCGAAGCATATGACTCTCCTCCACCGTACTCTCCACCTCGTAGGTCACCCACACAACCTCCTCGAATATCACCGACGCCCGAAAATATTAGTTCCTCGCCTATGCGACAGTCTCTATCTCCCGCCCCGGAGCCAATTCCGAACCCAATAATCCCTGGCGACCCAGCGCCCTCGGCCGAAGTTCTTTTTAAAACAACCAACGCATTTGCAAAGGAGAACGGATTTGGTATTATTCGGCGGAATAAATATTCCTATAAGGGACGGTTGATTAGGTACTCCATTCAATGCGACCGGTTTGGACAATCTCGGGCCTCGGGGGGTTCTGGTCTTCGAACCCGAAGGTCTCGGAAGTGTGATTGCAAATGGATGATAATTGCTGAAGCCCTAGAGGAAGGCAAGTGGCTTCTTCGACAACATAGAGACCCGAAACATCACCAGCATAACCATGAACGGAGTATTACGCCATCTGCGCATGTTTCCCACCGCCGCCTTACTACACCAGTTAAAGCAACCATCGAGTCAGCAAGCCGTCGCGCGGGTATTCGAGCCAGTGATGTAGCTGCTATGGTTGAGGAGCAATTCCCCGATACAACACTCCTGCGGAAGGATATCTATAATGCCCGTTCGTTCATTAACCGAGAGAAGCTAAATGGCTATACACCTACTGCGGCATTGATCAAACTCTTTGATGAGAAGAAGATCCCATACATCGCGAAATGGGCCGATGATGATCCAGATAGACTGCTTGGTCTTGTCTGGACCTTTCCGTACTGTCTACAGATGTGGAAGCGCTTCCCCGAGGTTATTAGCTTTGATAACACATATAACACTAATCGCTTCAAGCTTCCTTTATTCCAGGCTACTGGCCAAACCTGTCTTGGAACTGTGTTCAATGCTGCATTTGGCTTAATAGATAACGAGAGGAGGGAGGGGTTCCAATTCCTTGCAGAGAGTGTTCGCAAGCTCATTACAAAACACTCACTCAGGGAACCAGATGTCATCATCACAGACTTCGACAAGGCTATGAAAGCTGCCGTTAATGATCAGTTTCCAAATGCACAGCAACAGCTTTGTATTCATCATATCCTTTCAAACGTTTTGCTTAAATCGAAGACTAGGTGGACGGGCCAACGTGAGGACAGTACTACTAGCCCTAGCGCTAGTGACAGTGAAGACATTCCCTCACAGGCGGATGGCGGGTTGAGCACTACAGATAAGCATCTGATCGAAGATCGGTCGAGTAGTGATAAGATTCCTCATACTTACCAAGGCGTTGTTTTAATGTGGAAAAAGGTTCTCTATGCCGAGACTGAGGAAGCGTTTGAGCAGGCATGGAGAGATCTTTGTAAAGAGTTCGACGACCAACGAGCGATCTTACAATACCTCTACTCGACTTATATGCCTGTTAGTGCTCAATGGGCACGTTGCTTTATCCGTCGTTATCGTAACTTCGGAATCCGAGTTACGTCCGGCACAGAAGCAAGCAACAATAATATCAAAAGCTATCTATTAAATGGCATGAGCCACCTCTACCGACTCGTCGAGGCAATGCAGGATATGATACATGACCAAGAACGTGCCTTTAAGGATGCCTGTGGACAGGATGATGTCCTGACTGCTCCACAATACCTAGGTTCGATGGGAAACTATCTTGGTGAACTACGAACAACCATGTCATCGAAAGGACTTGGGTTAATCAACAAGCAATACTGTATTGCTCGCAAATTTCTGCCGACGGGGAAGAATCCCTTCCCCGACTCTATTGGACTTTGCGACGACGACTGTACGGTCTCTATTGAGCTGGGAATCCCATGCTATCATAAAGTCTACGCAAAGCTAGATTCTGACACACGTTTCACTAAATGGGAGGTCCACCCACGCTGGCGACTACGGGAATCGGCATCTCAAGATCCATACCGACGAATTCTTGACCCGAAAGTTGCCACTGCACTACGTGGAAGGCCAAAGAATACAGCGCAGGTTATCCCAGAAAGCCTAGCTATTACATCAAGTAGCCGATCTGATAATCAACCAAGTGGGCGACGAGGTCGACCGCCAGGAAGTCTCAATAAGCCAACTCTTGCTAGGAGAGTGCATAAAGCTACTCGAGAAACCATCACACAAACTGGTGGCCAAATTGGCATCTCAGCCCAGCAAGGGCCAGGTAGACCTTCTAAAGTCCTAAATGCTGGGAATACGACAGGCGTGCGGTACAGTGGACGGAGGACGCAACGAAACATTCGCAGGACAAGGAGTCAATGGGAACTGGCTAAGAGTGATGACGAAGATCCAGATTGTATCGTTGTGAGGCAATAAATTAAGTAGACCACATCACGTCTTTTGCCAGTATTTGACAGTTACTGGCTAACAGTACAAGGACGGTAGTTTAATCCGAAATGCAGGCTTGCAAGATAGCAGAAGACCAATCGCGCCCACAACGATAAGTGACTGCAATTCATGGTGATGTAGGAGCTTGTTAGTGAAGTTGGCTACACCGCCTTTCCGAGGAAGTATCTGTGGGGCCAAGAAAGTATGCGACCAATCAGAAGTGGTAAAAGTCATGCCCGTGTAAGAGTCATGCCCGTGTAGCCAAAGTGTCATGCCCGTGTAGCAATTCCCGACGTAACAGGTACTTTTCCGACGTTGATGCCCATCACGAAAACGGCTCAGTCAAACTTCTTTGCGCGTGGTTGGGTAAGGATGGCTACCGTCAAGGCTACTCGACGGGCATCCGAATTCATTTCCCGGAGTTTTCCAAGGGATTTTCCGGCAATGGAAATAGCCTGGATTAGTAGGTTCATCCAGCCTCATGCCAATCCAATGTGTGGCAACTAACGAGGCTCGCTCCTTAGCTACTGCAGATCCAACAGCTCAGCCCTTGCCTTCTACAACAATCAGGCACCGGTTTACTTTAGTGGGGACAACAGAAAAGAGCATAATGCCAAGAATAAAGAGAAGAAGAAGTATGGAAAGAAGCACGGAAAGCGCATTGAAAGAAGATCTTTCATGGCATCCCAGTCTGTTACAACCAACCATGCTGGCCACTCTGCTAGGTTTTTGTGCGAGAGTCCGACTTCCCACGGGCCAAGTCTAACTTCGCTTTCTGAACGCGTCTTCTGTTACATGCCTGAAAGGACACTTTTCCAATTCTGCGAGGATATTAAAACTGGTCATTGCTGGGATCACAATGCGACTCGCTTCGATACTAAAGGCCATGCTGCTCTCCACGCTCGGGCTGCTGAATTGTCCGAGATCCAGTTTGCGGAGCCTATTGTTTGGGGTTAAATCGAGTTCTTAGGGAAGATTGCAGCAGTTTCTTTTTTCGTTTTTCTATTTCTTTTCTCTTTTTTTCTTTCTCTTCTTTTTTCTCTTTCTTTTTCTTCTCTTTTCTTCTCTTTCTCTTCTCTTTTTCTTTTCTTTTTCTTTTTCTTTTCTTTTTATTCTCTTTTCCTTTTCTCTCCTTTTTCTTTTTCTATTTTCCTATTTTTTCTTTTTTTTTATTAAATTAGTAGCTGTCAAGTTATCTAACTGCTCGCACTACTTTGCTTTACATTTAGTTTAAAGCGCTAGGCGCTTGGGAAAGTCCGCTTAGTCGAAGTGTAGTGACTTCTCTGCTTCTTCAGTTCACAAAAATGTATTTAAAGAGCAATCATTTTGGAAAGGATTGTTCAGCTACGACTGTAGTGGACTCTCTACCTCTTCACTCTACACAAGATAGGCAGTGGGCAACCCGATTGTAGTTACCAGTGGTAGAAGAGTTTCGTAGTCAAATAGAAGCACTGTAAATTGTTAAAACATAAAATTGCTTTGATCGAGAGTTGTGTACGTCGCCTGATGTCCCGGGGATGGCTAAAATGCCACCGCAGCCGTGGAGCGTGTACTATGATTTGTTAGTACATGTCACGCAGATGTCGGTGACGCAGAGGGCTCTACTCACGAGAGTTAGGGCAAAGGGCGGCTGCATCAATAGAAGCCTGTGACCACAAGTTCTTTTGGAAAATCAGGGACCTTCGATGCCGAGATGTGTTATGTGCTGAATCGAGATAAAGCGCTCAAAAACCTCAGACGAGCCCTTGTCACAGTTGGATGACCCTTTGTCCCTCTAGACGGCTATTGTTAAAACAAAATATAGTTGGTAAGAACGATTTCGCTCCATGGTAGTTGGAAATGGCTCGCAACCAACGCCACCGGGGCCATGTCCACCCCGAAAGGAAAGCAGTCAATGGCAACATGATGACTAGTTCACATTCTCATGAAGGCGCCGTCGGTGACTAGAAAGTTACTCAAACAGTATCTAACATAAATCAGCCTTTTCGCCGGAAGCGGAACCGGACCAGGATGCCCAATGCAGAACATGCTTGCTGTATGGCAGGCGCCCAGATCTTCAAACGCCGTTGTGAGATCTTTTTCCGACGAAGGTTGAACCAAAATGTGCCACTAGTCACAACATAGCATCAGACGTATAGCTGTGTCCCTGGTGATCATGGTAAACTCGCTACTCCGTATCGAAGTAAGAGGGATCTGAGGGAGTTGCTTTAAACGCATAGCGGACGATATGCCGAGACGAGCATAGCTCAGCCCTGCGCCTTGTCTCCCAAGCTGAGAATGATGACTTGAACATTAAATCCTAAACGTGTGACTCAAAAGTACAACATGCCGTGATGTTCTTTCACATAGTAAATTAATCAGCATTTAGGCCTGCATTATGTATATATTACTAATCCCCTTTCCGTCTTAAGCTGAGTATTAATAAGTGAATGGAGAAGGAACCTGGCCGGTGGCATAGGCCTCTGCCATTGGCCCGAATGGTGACATAGAGGCCTCAAAGCATATAAAAGCACCGGACAGGACGGTTGCGACAGCCAGAGACGTTTGTGCCCATTTCTGTCGCTGGGCATCGAAGCCAGGGCCGTCATTATACGAGTCATGCAGCCAGAACATGCCAGCTCTATTAAAAGAAGTTCCATTAGCAGATAATCACATGCTACCTGACTAGACGTAAGCAGTGTGGGACGGACAAGACCTAGAAAGAAATATAACACGAGTTGTGCAGGACTTACATGCCGTACTTAAATCACGCGGCGAAAAGTGATGCGGTGATTCCGATTAAGTAGTTGAAAATAGGGACGCCCACGGCTAGGAGAAAAGCCAAGCCATTTGCGAAGAAAACGAGCGTAACCCAGACTCCCCAACCCAGCAATATGTGGCTTTGTAAATGCCTGGAGTGCCGAAAGATTCTAACGAACATGACCTTGCCAGCGGTATGAGTATAAAGAGATTCGGCAAGAAGAAGATTCGGCAAGACGATGCCCCAAGACACTTTTTGCCAGTAGGCAGACAAAGAAGAAAACGAAGGCGATTTCGCCGTACTTCCAATATAGCCGTACGTAACCCCTGCAAAGAGAACGTAGAAAATCGTGGCAAAGGACTGCAGGGTGTAAGCCGCACGCATAGCGTGGTGTTGTTCCTTCATCTCGGATACAAGCACAAAAAACCTGCAGCGGTTCAACGTTAATGCTGGAACAGGTCCTGACCATGCCATCTGAGAGAACTCACATGAAATGTCCTGCAAACGCAAAGACAGGGTTGGTAATGGAAATAAATGCCGCGTAGAAGCCTGACGGCACAGCCATTTGGATTATTCTATTCGGATCGGGTGAGATGCCTGCTGCAGCCATGCCGACGATTCCAGCGATCAAAATGCTTAACACGCTGGCGGTGGAGATCCAACTCAGTCCGTGTAATGTTCTTGGTAATGAACACAGAAGCATGGGAATCGCAAAGACGCCAGTATATAACATGAGGCACAGTTTGTTGTCGCTCAACGAGGCGAGGGCAATCTGGCCAGCGAGAAGCTGACCCCCAGATGCAAAGATTGAGAAGCAGCATGTCCCAAGGCCATGATCTCACGCCCGAGCGGCCCAAACATGATGTAGCCAGCGTCACCCATGGTATGGACCTCGGGATGGCGCAGTTTGAACTCGACTAACAGCCACGATGTGTACGTCGCGAACACACCGAGGAATATAATGATAATCAGCCCGGGCACCATGCCCACCACGGCGAGAAATGACGGCAGAGACAGCATGCCATTGGACACAATCTCGGTGATCATAAGAAGTGCGACCAACGGCCACGAGAGTCTCTTATATTTGATGTCATGCTGGTCCTCTTGCCCGAATACGTCGGCCGTGTGGGCGCCAGATGGTTCGCAACCCGGCTTTTCGGACCTAAGCGTGCATTGTTTGTCAGTCGCAGATGCGATCATTGTGGTGTTTGGTGAAGAGATGCGCGCGTCATGTGATGGTGGCGAGACTTGCTGGGCAGCACGAAGGGGAACACCACAGATAAATATTGTATAGCGCAATGGTTATTCTCGGCTTCCGCCACCAAGCAGTGTTAAAACGCACAAGTGGAACGATGCAACAACAATTTAACTACGACGGTGCCAATGCAAGGGGGGATGGTCAAGCTTCTGGCAATTTTCCGACTAGATGTGCGCAGCAGGCACAAAGCAGCTCCACTATGGCGGTGCCATGTAACAGCAAACAAGTCTAATTGGCGATGGCCTGTTAGAGGCGCTATGAAAACGAGTGACGGTGACAAGTCAACCTGGTGTCGATGCCTTGGTTTTAAGCTTGGATGAGGAAGCTTGCCAACCAACGTGGCCTCTCTAGAACACAGTTGGAAGATAAAGCTGCAATAAAACCAGTGTAACGATGCAACCAAAGTTGCGAACAGAGAGAGCATCCTGGACTTGGCGTATCCCACGTATACATTACTAATGGATGTCACACGAATGTTAGCGACACGAGAGTTATATATAGTCAGGAGACTTAGGGCAAAAGACTGCTAAGCCTCTGGTCACGTGGACAATTCATACCACAGTGTGTTGTATGCGAATCGAGCCAAAGTGTTCCAAGCTCTGTTCTTGTACTACTGCAAACGAGCTCCTGTCACATTGGAGGGAGCTTTCTACGATCCAAAGTCACTAACATAGGTCAGTGAGTGTCCCCCAGGCACATTGTAACATGGCTGACCATAAACATAGCCTGGTTTATTTGACGTTCTTCCGTGGTCAGACGATACTTTAGCTCCACCATGCATTCTCCGATGCCTACAAAGAGAAATAACTGTATGACATGACGTCCGCCGATTTGTGTCTTGCAAAAACAGCCCCCCTGCTTCGGAGCTGGCGCTGCATTGATGGGGTCGGTTGGTCTCGGAATCACTATATCCCCATTTTCGGGAGTCAACTGAGTCTCATTCTACCCTAGCTATCTAAGTCATATGTACGTACTACTAACATCTACGCCTAGGAGCTATGTCCCGGCAACTCTCCTCAGATAGATGACAACATTCTCTCCATTAACCCGAGTTTTCGCAATAATGCGGTCATTTGATAGTATCTCGCCCCAAAAGTCGTAACCCGCCCAGCCGCCGGACCCCATGCGCCTTGATAGTCTAAACCTGGTATGGCTATAGTCCGGTTTATCCAGCTGAATAGCTCCCCAGGTTGCCGCAGGACTGTTTAGTGTTCCAAACGCACTTTTTGTCCATCGCCACATGAACGTGACCGTTGCACCTGTGAATAAGCCTTCAGGCATGAACATTCGGAATTTTTCGCCTTTCCAGCTGAAACTGGGCTCCTTGATCACGCCCTCGAATACTGCGCCATGGAAGTGGTGCAATCCCTTAGCCATACCTTCGAATACTCTTTCTTCAAGCTGACCAGGGGAAGACTCGGAAATAATTATGTGTCCACTTTCCTTGTCGAGCTCTTGCTCGATTTTGAGCTTATTGTCCGATGGATCCTTGTTCCACATTTCAAGTGTCTTTTCCGACAGTGATTCTGACATGCTGTGAATAACAGTGACCACGACTGGTTCGACGGTCCCCGAGACGAGAACCACATCGCGTGTAGTGCCTTCGATCAGCTTGACCACAGACTCCCAATAGCGTACCCAGTCGCGCTGACTATACGTAACGGCAGCTCTCTGAAGGGAGTATAAAGTGCCAATTCCTGGTATATATTGAACTACCGAGTAGGCCAGGCCTTCCAGCTCATGAAACCACGTCTTCTCTCCGCGGCTTTGAATGGCCATGGCTTGTGGTTGCGATGATTTATTTGCAGTAAAGTTGTGTGCTGCTTTAACAGTGAATCCTTTTGCGACAGCAATCAAAGAAAGTGTCTTGATAAAGCATACTTGTGGTAGCATTTTCTTTTGGATAAGAATTGGTGAATGTGATGGTGTCTATCCAGGAAAAATAATTAGGTTGAAAAATTTTTTTTTGAAGCTGTTAGTTCCGATAGCTGCGTTAGATACCCGTTATATACCTGTTAGACCTTAAACTAGGGACAATGCAATAAGTTTCAGGGCTAGAGACGGGGCATTAGTGCCTATGTAATTATTACATAATAAGAATAAGGGATTATAGTCAATAATAGAAAGGTGCTTAATATATAGTAGCAATTACCTAAGCGAAGACGTATTTTCTTATTATTGCTATAACTCGAGAAAGAGGGGTTAGGAGTTATTAATATATTGTGTGGCTGCTGATGCACACACATTATGTATAACCTCTTCGGTCGAGAGTCTTGAAACTCAACTAAGGACCCTTCACAGCTAAAGTTCACAAACTATATAATTTCAGGCGCAGATATCCTGCCCTTATTACAGCAGCTATAACGTATTTGTAAATTACCAGGGTACACTAGTTATGTGGACATAGAGGCCTTGGAGCCTGAGTTCCTCGGAATAAACCGTGGACCTTTAAGACTCTACGGCTGTAAATTGAATCCTAAGGACGTTATTCCGGGTCCCGCTTTTGTAGCCCTTGTCGCAGGCATTAATTCTCGCCGCCTATTTGTATAAGTGAGATCCTTTTAGCCTAGGACCTTGGATTCAACTAACAACCCTCGACATCCCTACGTCGCTTATCAGCTCAGTTGAGATTATTTACTCTAAAATCTCTATTGAGACCTTTATACAAGTAGCTAGAGCTGCGATATTAGAGTTTACTCTCGTGAGAGTGACGAGCGTTTAGAACACTAGGACTATAGCATCCTCGCTAAATATTCTTTCTTGTCGTTATATTTCCTAAGTTAAACTTTAGAAGCAAATTATGTCAACGCCTAACTTATAATGCGCAGATCCCTATTATCGGCGGCTATTTTCCCACAACAGATTTAACTAAAGCCCTCTTAGGGATGTAACTTATAATAAAGTACTATATATAAAGCAGGCTCTAGATTCTTAGAGACTTATGTAGAAATATCCTTATTAAGCGTTTCAAGATGCCTGCTAAACTATATCATTCCCTCTGCAGAAAATTTAGGGCAGTCCCTATGAGCTTTAGTCGCACTACGACTGGCAGCTGTCTCTTGCCACACAGCTACACAAGGACGATAATCACGAGATCAGGACATAAGGCACGCTGCGAAATAAAAGCCTTTAGTCACAGAGAGTCTTTTGAGGACTCTTTCACACCGAAGTGTGTTATTGTAGTCCCATTGAGTTATACTCCCAGCCCTCTTTTAGCTCTGCTCACATCTTTCTGGCCTAATGCTCGTTTTCAGCTTTCTAGGATTGTTATAGTTAATTGCGCTAGTCTTCCACGTATATTATGCCGTGAGGCAGTGAAACCCTCAGATGCCTAGACCCAGGCGAGCACTGTATGAGAATTAATAGACTAAAGTACTCCGTCGCAAATAATGCCTATGAGGTTGATAGAGGTGCTGGCTTATCCGTAGAACCTTGTACATAAAATTAGATGTCGAGGACTAAAATGACAAAGCTTTCGAGAAATTACAAGCTTTTATAGAATTATGCTAGAGAAAATTGCTTGTTTTAACTACATTATTAATGCGTAGAGATACTCTTCTTAAAGCGAGAGTGCTGTAAATACTATTTACAATTAAAGTAGCAAAATATTTGTCGTTAAAGTAGCAGTAAAATCACGCTGGTGTAGCTATGCGCTATGCATTTTTATGAATAAATCTTCCATATTATCTTTGAATGTGTAACAAGGGCTGGTGTTACACGGAAACAGAATGTTCATCCCGGTGCCCAATTAGTAAACCTATTTGCGGCTGTTTGGGCTGCCTCGCCTGTATATACAACATCTGGTGTAGATCTCCGCAACATATCGTCTTTTTCTGCTGCCTGGGCTTCAAGGTCTTCTAGCCATAGCGTCCTCTTCTCTTTTATGGTGTACGCGTCCCTCCTGATGCTTCTTTCAAGGATCTCGGCATCCTTCAGTATTGCGCCATTTTCATCCTCGGCTGTCAACTCGTCTATATACCTCATTGGAGGCGGTAGCGAAAATTCTGTATAGTTTCTCCTGTTCCTGCTTTTTAATAAATCGGCTCGCATTCTCGCAGTGTGCCATTGGATCCAGTACATCTGCTCGTGTTCTCGAAGGTAGCGTTCGCCGTGGAAGCTCTCCAAAACGACCTGGCGAGACAAAAGGCCGAGCTTGCGACGGTCACCGGCCTTGGAATACATGCGTTCAGAGAGCCTCTGCACATCATGGGCAGTGATTTCTTCGGGTAGCGTCTTCGGTGGTTCGCTTTTGTCCTCCAGAAACTTTGTCCAGGGGCCGATCATGCAGAGGATATTCAGCTGCGCCCTGGCCAAAGCGACTGGGTCGTTTGGTGCCACCACTTCGCCATACCGCAATTCTGCATCGTTTGGATCTGTCATGACTAGAGCTGTTGCGCCAACTTCTGTTGCGACGATGGGCACGCCCGCCAGTGCGGCCTCGCCAATGGCCAACGGCAAACCTTCCGAGATGGACGAATTCATGAAAATCCATGCGTCCTTGAGGACCTCCTTGGGCTTGCCAAAACCCGCGAGAATAACATTGTCTGAAAGGTTGTGTTTAACGATAAGCTTCGCCATCTCGAGAGCATATGACGGTTGGCGGTCCTTGGCTCCATAAACCATGAGGCGGTAGTCTTTAAAGCCATAGCGGTTGACAATAATATCCGCAGCGAGGATGGCCGTCTTGATGCCCTTGATGAACTGAACATTGGACAGCATCACGGCAGTGGGCCTGTCAGTTCTGACCTTGTCGATTGGTTCAAACGAGTCCATGTTGCTGATGCCGTTGACGATGGGGTCAATTTTGCGGCTAAACAAATTCCTGTTGCAGATGTTGCCCCTATCACTGCCGATCTCTGTTTCCCACATGCTGTCAAGCGTGTCAGCTTGGAAATCGATCAAGGGAAAGTCACACTTACGGGTTGAACAGCGAGGTGCACGGTGTAATGACATCGGCGTGAAAGTAGGACAAGCGACTGGCTAGACGGATGCCGTGTAGGAGCATGAACTGGACTGAAAGTGGCAGTTCGCATTGTGCCGGGCTGATGTTTAAGCAGGACTCGCGCCAAAGGATTGCATGGTCCCATATGCCAAAGGCGACGCCTCGGCGGTACTTGAGAATGATGCCGAGCAAACTGCTTATGCCGTGGTGCGTACTCTGGAAGACACGTGGGCATTCCTCGGGTATCTTGACCGAGAAGATGAAGAGATACGCAATGTATATGCCCAATGCCTCGCGGAAGTCGAACAATGTCGGGCGTGCAATGTCAAAGTACTCGGAGGGATCCTGGATGTTGGGGTCTTCATACGACACGAGCCAGGCCTCAACCCAAGCATCCTCGACCTGCTTCGACGACCAAGTTTTGTTATAGTCCTTGCTTTCAAAGTATTTCGACATGGACAGCATGACGTTGGTACAAGCGGCCAACGTGGCACGAGTATAATCTTTCGTGCGCGCACCCTTGACAAAGGCCTTGAGCAAGGGGACAAAGACTCGGGCAATATCTCGTTGCACGTCTGTGTCGCAGATGTGGTCGTCCACCTCAGACTGCAGGATATTGTCAATCAACCCGTGGTTAGCAGTCTTGCCGTCGAGGCCCCAGAGTGGCAGTAGTTTGAGAGACTGCACATTCCTTTCGATTTGAAAGCGCGGTATGCCAAATTCGTTTGCACACTCGGCCATGACGTGGTTTCTGATTGTGCCGTGGCCGTTGACCAGATCTCGTCTGCAGTTGGAAACACCGCCTGGTGCTTCTGGCCAGCAGCCGATGTCGTTGACAATGACGGAAACTCGATCTTTCGTATCCCGATAGCAGTCTTGGGGTCTGTTTGTAACCTGGTTGGCGTCCTTTCCAAGACCCATGGCAAACAGGTCCGCGGACCTGATGGGAAGCAAACAGACTTCCGACACGTCCGTCTCGATTTCGATGGCGGCCACGATCTGGTCAATGTCCTCCAAAGATTCCCGCGCAGCATCGAGGTTTCCACTGTCCCTAGCACGCCAGTATTTGCGCAGCAGAGGCTCTTCACGAAGAATCATTTCATCGATCCAGCAGGCAGTGACGGCGTCAAGACTACCTCCCAACCAGGCATTCCATAGCTCGGTGCGGGATAGCCAAGTTGCCACAGGGAGATGGACTCGTCTGGTCCACCAGGCCAGCGAGCTCAGACGAGACATGATTGACAGCTTCTTGGTCGCGTATTGCCTCATTATGTTGATCTGGCCAACACTGTGGTGGATGAGCAGGTCGTCCCCGTCAAACAAGATATTTCGAGGGCGGCAAAGAAGCGAGTCTTCTTGGGGAAAGACCTTTGGCACGACGGCGACAATGGTTTTGTACACGCCGTCTTCTACCAGATACGTCAAGCTTTTGGGGTCACGGCGATGATGGTACTCAATCTCGGTGGCGTAAGTCTTGCCGCCAGTAACTCGTACTATTCGGTGTATCTTCTCGGACGGCGCCCAGTTGTAGCACTCGGCCCCGTCACTCAAGGGCTTGCCCCAAAACACGGACAATTTGTCGTCCGATGATGAGTCCAGGAGTTGGAAGTCGGCTCGAAGAATGTCACTGCTATTTTCAGGCGTCGTCTTGTAGTGATAGAAGAAGGCCAAAGGCTTGGGCCCAAGCATCATGGTGCCACTCTCCAGACGGCCTTGTTTATCGTACAACCCCAGCGCCCGGTTATTGGAGCCGACGATTCCTCTCGACACGGGCCAGGTGCGCATCTTTGTCGAGCGGTAATTGTACGTGAATGTAGTCCCATCTCGGTCAGTTCTGCTTTTGAGGCGCAGCTTGTCGTCGTAGGTCGCCTTGAACACAGGGGGCTCATCTTCTGGGGCTTCGCCGAGCCGTCCTTCGAAGACTTCCAAGACCAAATTCCCACGCTCGTTGTGTGTTGCAAACCCAGTGACGGTTTTCCGGGACATTTCTACAATAATCGAGTTCTTTTCAATAATACGCAACGCTCCTTTGCGGGTAAGGCGAACTAGTCTGGCGACTGCGGAACGGTGGTAGATCAAGAAATAGTAGATCCAGAAGTTCCTCATGGCCCAACATAGCTTCCAAATTCGAAGAATTATCCAAACTACCGGGCGCTTGAAGGGCAGCCAGCGAAGGGCGTAACACAGCTCACGCTCTATGTTTGATCCTCCGCCGCTTATCAGTGCCACCCATCTGGCAAATGTGACGGGAACGGCAGTGAAGCGTCGAAAATAGCCACGGATGGGGACCCCGGACATACCGCTGGGTATTTTGACGGGTATCAACTCCGCGGCGGGCAGCGACTCTTTGAAATCCATTGACAAGCTCAAATCCGTCGATGCATCACATCGTTGCTTGCAGGCGCGAAAGATTTCAAGCGTCAGCCGAAGATGAAAGTCGATAGTATCCACGTCCACATTATTGGCTGTTTGCCAATCGTCAAACTCCTTTGTCAACTTGACTTCCCGTCCAGTGATACGGCTGATTATCACTTCCCTCACGCTGGGGGGGAGAGTATGCCAAGCAAGGTCGACATTGACGTCGAGGGCAAGACGGCGCAACATCTCTGTGTTTGTCTGGTGGATAGTCCGCCGCAGAGTGTCCACATCGGCCAAAGCTAGTTCAAATTGGATGCGTTTGGACATGGGTGAGGTCCCGTGCAGAAAGTGCTCTGTGTGAACCGCTTGAGAGTGTGTCAGCCCGATCTCGACACGAGCTACGTGGTACATGAGGGACTCTGCGATCATTTGCGCCAGCTGCATTTGCCACGCCGGCAAGCGTAGCTCATAGTCGCCGAAGAATCCAGCAGTAATTTTGAGGACGTCGCCATCCTCTTGGCTGAACGAGAAGAGATGCTGCAACCCTGCATCAAGGAAGCTCTCCCGGTCGACCACCATGATTTCGACTCTACCTTCCTCCCATGCTTGGAAAGCTATTTGAATAAACTCACTCGCCCATTCGCAAGCCCTTGATGTCGAGTTTGGTGTCATCAAGCTTGTGATGAGAATGTCCTTAATCTTCCAACTAAGAAAAGAACCGTCGTCGTGCCGAAAGCGCGGGCCGGACGACTTGACAAAGCGCCGAATCGACATTCCGGATTCGATGCCAGGGTCTGCTTCGAGCTTGCGCTGGGCGTAGAACATGTCCGTCTGCTTCGATAATTGAAGCGCCGGTGTAGCCTGCGTCGGGGCGAACCAATCTTTCCAAGTCCACAGAAGCGTTCCAAAGGCAGCCAACAGAGCGGCGACGTTCTGACCGACGACATCAGAGTATAGCCACTCGGCGCTCATGGGGTGTGCATGAAGTACACAGCCTACAATAAAACCAACAATGGAGGAGCCAAGAATGATGAAAACATGGCCGTGTACATTGGTGGTGAAGCAGCGATTAAACTGAAACAATATCACCCCTGTGTATCCAGCAACGTAAAGATAGTAAAGCAGTATTGACTCTGGATTGTCAACGAGCATCCATAGAAGTAGGGTCGTGATTCCAAAAAGAAAGAGGAGCCTTGTGAAGAGTTCCAGCAGGGCAGCGACTAATTTTTGGTGACGCACTCGCTCCCACTGGTGAGCAACTCTTTGAGCATGGTGATGGTCGACGAGTTTATCCTTTGACAATGTAAAGCGAAAAGCCCAGTGCTTTTGAAGAGTCAGGTCCAAAACTACGACTCCAACCAAAAAGTAGAGGACGCAAAGGCAGACGGCATATCGAGCGCGAGAATCGGTGTAGATGCTCCGTCCGGGATGCCCATTATTCATAATGACGTTGACCCAGCGATCCATCAGCGCGATCAGGAAGAGGCCTACGTTCTGTCCCAAGTCGTACTTGGCATCACGAAACAGCATGAGAATGTTGTGCTCCTTTAGCCCTCGAGACAGTTGCTCTTGCTGCTTCTTGGACCCGCCCAGCTGAGTATACCAACCGCTGCTGAACGTGTCGGGCAAGTTGCCGTTAGGATTTGTCTTTTTGAACAGCCAGTCTATGTAAGGCATACCGGCAGCGACGTGTTTAACAAAGGTATCATTCTTGACTTCAGCAAAGCTACTGTCGCCACTACGTCGCGCGTAGCATGTAACTGCGTCATGAAGGGCCTCTTGCGCCATCTTACTAAAGCCGTCCGGATGTGCTTCATTGTCATAGTTGATGCTGCCCAGTTTGGACTTGAACCAGGCGAGCATGTCCTTTTCCGTGACGTTAGGAATGTTTCTCATCCACCCATTCCACTCATGACACAATCGGCGATACTGGTACAACAGCAGAAGGATAGTCGCGCACGCAATGGGAAGATAGATTGCAACATCGTGCCCATTAATAACGGACGTCAGGACAGGTGATATGAAAAGAAGGGGTATCGTCCTCCACAAGACGGTGCGTCCCGAGGTCACTGGACTGCCGGTTTGGTGCATCGTGGCCATAACACCCAGCAGGTTAAGGTACGTGGTGACAACAATGACATAGGCAACAAAGACAAGGCCCGTCGTAGCGGAATTGGCGATGGTGAAGCAGATAAAGCCGCCAATAGCGACGAGCATGGTGAGCATGAAACCTCCTGATAAACGCTGCACGTGGAAATGAGTCATATTCTCATATGCGTAATGATTCAAGTAATAGGAACCTGTGCTTCCAACCCAGCCGGTGACCCCGGCAGTCAGCAGAAGAGAGATGAGCAAGGCATACGCGGCGGCCTCAATGTGCCACGGGTCCATGAATGCTGTCATGAACAAGCCGCGTCCAAGGAAAGTCAGAAGCAAGACGTCTATAATGGCTGGCAGACTGAAGATGGTAATGGCGCCGACCGCGGCGAAGTGCTTCTTCCACAACTCGAAGCGCTCATGCATCGAGAGCCCCTGGCTGACGGCTTCGGTATTCTCCTCCTTGGACTTTGGTTCTCTGGAAGGCGGACTGGCCTCAGTTGTGGAGTACATTGTCATGATCTCGTTGCCATTCCGATCGGCGGCAACTGGAGGACAGGTTTTGAGGAACCTGCGGTATCGATCATAAATGATATCGCCGAGGTCGCGAGGCAAGACACCCAGGAAGATTTCGCACTGAGACCCTAGCACCCACAGCTCTGAGAAGACTGCGGCCTGGTCAGCACAAAGGAAAATGGGGCAGCGATCGGTTGACTCGATGTACACTTCTTCGAACGCTTCCTTTCTCATAATGGAGAAGAACATGAGGGCAAACATGTCAGCGTTTACGTCGACTTGCTCGGCCGCTTCGCCCAGGGTGTCCGAGCCGAATACGTCGATCAGGGCGTCGGTCAGCGCATTAAGCTTCTCTCGATCTCCGTAAAAGAGAGCATCGCGAATATTGTTGCTCATCAACTCGTAAAGGGCCTCCAAGTTCTCCAATAAAGGCAGTTCACTTGCTCCTTCCATGACATAGATTTCAAGGCGCCTTAGCAGCATATCCCGTACGGAGATGGAGCCGTCCAATATGCCACGGGCATGCGTCTGGTACCAGGATAATCTCGACGTTTGAGTGGTCAAACGAGACTCGCAAAAGGATTTTATGGGCGACTTCCAATGGTCCTCGAGGTGTGCGACACGCATCTGCTGCAGTAATTGAAGAATCTCGGCATACGTCCCTGCCTCTATGGCGCTGCGAATGCTTATCGGAAGCCTACTCCCGTGGAAAAGTCCGTTCAGGCTTTCTAGACGCGTCTCGATATCGAGACAGGTCGCGCGGGATACCCCGTGATGAGCAAGCCAGGTGTGAAGTACAACACTGGCGTCGTTGGGTGCGGAGTGCGAAATGTAGATGTCGATGGCCGGATGGTCAGTCTCGTCACGGGCTTTGCAAACGCCCTGGAAGTAGGAATTCCCATCTGGGACCTTGAAGCCCGTATTGAGACCCCTGAAAATGAGTATGTTGTTTGACTTGAGGCCATTGATGAGGTCGTTGATGAACTCCCGGCACTCGTCTTGCTCCGAGAGTGGCTGGATGGACTTGATCAATCGATGAACCTCGGCTCCCTTGACGGCGTTGAGCAACTTTAGCTCACGAAGGTGGCATTGGGTTTCCAACACGGCGGCATAATCTTCCAAAGATGGTTCGGAAAGAATCGAAAAACAGCCAGCAGGGGACATCTCGGTCCCGTCCGCAGAATATTTCCAGAAATCTTTCCGCTTGGGAGCCTCTTGGAGGTACTTGGGCGGCTCTACCATGGCCACAGTTTGTTCTTGCGACGCCTTGAGCCAATTGGGTACGCGCTCGTGTTTTAATAGTGCTGACGCGAATGGCAAGGCCGCGTCAACTTTGCTCAGCGACAACGAACGCACACCTTGAACAATGGTCCCTTTGCTGCTCCTGCCTAGTTGAATAGTTCTCGGGTCAGAACTCCAACTCTTTTGCAACTGTGCGAGGGTTAGTCATGCATTCCGTGGCGCGAACATGCTCGAGCTCACTCACCTCTGTAACATCCCCCCGTCTTAAATACTCAAAGCTGCTGAGCGTAAACGCGGCGTCCCTGGGCGGTCTCTCCAGTTTCGCGTTTGGGTCTGCCGAGCCATGTTCGACGACGGCGCCGAAATGCTCCGCAAGCTTGACGGCTCGTCGAACGACTGAAGGGTGTGGACGATTTTCCCACATCTCCGAGAAGCCGACAAAAAACCCGGGCCGCTTTCTGCGCTCGGTGGCGCACCTAACCATGACCTCGCGGAGCCGTTTGGCTTTGAAGTAGTCTCTCCGCTGACCATTGGGCAAGATGCATGCATTTTCAAGGATGACCCCAGACGCGTACTGGAAGCTCAGCGAGTCTATGTCTGCAGAGTCATGGTGACAAAGCAGTAGGACGGAGACATCACAGTAATGCAGCCGTTGAAGAAGCTGCTCCACGTTTTTGTTTGGCGTTGTTGACGAGGGCCGAAGAGCCAAACCAGCCAAGCTGTTCCGAATGCAACTGCGAACCAGGTACTCCGTTGTCGAGGCAATGTCCGGCGGCTCAAGCGCCGCTGGCTCCATGTCTTTGAGGTCGACATAGGCCAGGTTCGTGACTTCGTGACATGCGGTGCCTGCCATGCTTAATCCATCCCATGCGTCATCACCACTCAGCTCGCCAACGGTGAGCGGAAAGATGGCTAGGTCATAACTCCTTTGCTCGTCAAAACTTGCTTGCCTTTGAGTTTCTAGCATGAAGACCTTGAACGACCTTGTGGACTGGAACGACGCCAAATGGGGCCCTGAGCCAACATTCTGATATACAAATTGCTTCCTCCGCAAGCGCTCTCTTAAGTTGTCACCTGTCAGCGTGGTGCTCCGTGCAAATTCCCAGGTATGACCGGGGAGATGACTCACGCCAGATGCTTGAAAATTCGCGAGAACCACGATTGCCTCGCGAGTAGTGCGACGAACAGTACAGTGGGAAGAAGGAGAGACGAAGCCCCAACAGCAAGAGTCACTTGTTGATACCACGATTGAAGAAGGTTGTCCTTGGGAATGGGGGAGTTGCAGTAAACGGCGAATTTGGAGTGCGCGCATTCCAAAATGGCCGGGTCGTTGGACCCGGGCTGGAAAAAAGAGGTCATGATGACGCCCTATGCAGCTCAGAAGGCCGCGCCCCCCCTGGCTGTTCCAGAGATACGAACGTCAATAGTCTTGGGGAAAGCTTTTAATATGAACTACGTATGTAGTATGTACGATGGAGCCATGAGGGCGAAGGAAGGCAGCTCAAGCTATGTAGGCTGAGCGAAACAAAGACATCATGGGCCTTGTCTTGCTCGGCCGCCAAGCTCTGATTGGAAAGGGGGCTTACTTCGCACGCATGTACGGACCACCCCGAAGTATCCGAGGGCAGAGCCGAGGGTGGCGGCAGGCAAACCTCATACCGTTGACGGAAACGTGCTGGGCCTTGTTTTGCGCCAGACTGCCTGCCGGCTTGGCCGGCTTTTGGGCGCTGAAGTGTGTCTCAGGGACCGCAAATCTCGATGTAGTCCACATTGCTCCGTGCGCCAATGTCCAAGGGCAGGCCAGACTTGGTGTGCATACTTCGTATTTGAAATCACGCCAGGTGCTGAGCTCTCAGCAGCAGGCTGAAAGCTGACAGAATATTCTCTGGTCCGGTGTTCATTCCGGTTCTTCTTCCTTCTTCTTATTAGCCGCCGAAAAAAATTAACTAGTTCCCTGACATGCGTGTCCGTACAAGTTGACCAGACGACCAGATGCTGGGGTATGCGCCCTGGCAAGATGCGGCGCATACACATGTTGAAACGCCACACGAGACGACGGAAGCTGACTGTTCTACGACCATTTCCTATTTTCAGACATGGAATCAGGACATTAGGTTTCGTTCTTGGGAAAAAGTTGGCCACCGGGTTGCAAATCTTGGGGGGCTCGCCGACTCGCTTCCGGGGCATTAATCAAGTGCGTCGGCGGCCGCTCTCATCATCGTTTCCTATTGATGAGACGGTCGAGTTGATTCGTCAAAGTCGACTCCTGGACTAGGGCTTCAGCGTAAGACTGCTACTCTGAAGAGGAGCCGACGTAGCAACCCGTTATGCACCTCGTCGGGCTACCGAAAGGCTAGTGGCACGGATGCTTTACCGCATTCTTCTGGCCAAAACTCATTTTACTCCGAACAAGCCGTTTCAGCTGCAATGTACGCGCTCTTGGTTCCCTGCAAGAAAAGATATTTCACCGTCAGCGTCACTTTAGGCCTCCAATGGCACACGGACAAGACGCATGTCAGACTAGATATAAACTTCATCTCGTCCGTATCGTGTCGTGGACTGTTCCAGACATGCCGTCTCACGCAACACCACTCACTCACCATGCCTGCCTTGTCCCGTCCAGACTCGCTCACCTGGTCAGGGCAGAGTTCACTAAACAGCTCGCGCCCTACGACGCCTGATGGGGAATCTGAAGGTGGCTATGCCCTCCCTCTGTCCCTGGATTTCGAAAACGTGGTCCTTGTGATTGGCGGCCTCGGCTTTATTGGCTCACACACAGCCCTTGAGCTGTTGAAGGCCGGATATAACGTGTCCATCGTAGACGATCTCAGCAACAGTTTCAAGGTGGCCTTTGGCCGCATCAAGGAGCTGGCCCTCAAGCACCATTCTAGTAGGGGTACCAAGATGCCATCCCTACAGCTGCACATGCTCGACTACCGAAGCCGCGGCATGCGCGACGTCCTGGACCTGTACTCGGTCCCGAGCCAGAAGTCGACGGCAGCAGCAGTTCCTCACAACGCCAGACGGTCGCGCATCTCGGGCGTGATTCACTTTGCAGCCTTCAAGTCCGTCTCCGAGTCCATCTCGCGGCCCGTGCAGTACTACCAGAACAACGTCTGCGGGCTCGTCGACCTCGTCTCGCTGCTGGGCGAGCACAACATTCGAAACCTCGTCTTCTCGTCTTCGGCCACAGTCTACGGGTGCAAGGCGGACCTGGGACGGCCGCTGCGGGAAGAGGACCTTGTGCACCCCGAGGCCTACGTCGACGACAACGGGCTCGAAATCACACCCGAGTCTTTTGCCAGCCTGCAGAGCCCATATGCCAGGACCAAGTTCTTCTGCGAGGCCATCCTCGCCGACGTTGCCCGCTCAGATTCGTCATGGCGCATCACCTGTCTCCGGTACTTTAACCCTATCGGATGCGACGCCTCGGGCCTCCTGGGCGAGGACCCAAAGGGCACGCCGACCAACCTGTTCCCCGTCATCACACAGGTGCTCGCCGGCGCCCGCAAAGAGCTGGACGTTTTCGGATCTGACTGGGACACGCGAGATGGAACCCCTGTCCGGGACTACGTCCATGTGTCCGACGTGGCGCGGGGCCACGTCGCTGCCTTGGCCACCGAGGCCAAGGAGCCATTTCGCACATACAACCTGGGCTCGGGGACGGGCACGACGGTGGCCGAGGCCGTGCGCAGCCTTGAGAGGGCGTCGAAGCGGTCCATTCCTGTCCGGCTGGCGGACCGCAGAGAAGGCGACGTCGGCTCGTGCGTCGCGTCCAACGAGCGAGCATTCAGGGAGTTGGGATGGGAGGCGAGAGAGAGCGTGTCCCAGTGCGCCGAGGATTTATGGAACTTCGTATCCAAAGTTCAGGCTCCGGGGACTCTCCAGCCCGAGAGAAAGGCGGCTTCGCCCGTCTGAACCTTGAACTAGACGGAGTGTGGAGCGCGCCGGTTGCTGCAGGGTCTGCTGGTTGCGTAAAAGGACGCCAGGGACATGGGCCTGGACTGAGTTTACGTGTGGGGGAGCATGAGCATGAGCATGAGCATGAGCAGGAAAGTTTGAGCACATATTACATCTGTCTTTTACAACTGGCGTCCAGGACTATCATTGATCAACATGCATAGACTGGTTTAGACATAGCAATGAGACGCGGCGTGTCGCACTTTCGGACGTGAAGCTGGCCCCGATATGAACCACCGTGTGCGATTTGCGTCCCTGGCGTGTTTTCAACACCAGCATGGGGCGAGGCGGTCATGTTTCAGCCGGCGCTGGCGCATGCAGTCTGAGATGATGATGCACAGCAGATGGGGCCCGTGGACGAGTCTAAAAGGCGGGGCCATCGCGGCACTTCAGCTGGCCCGGTCCCTGTGCGCGACCGGGGGGGCCGGGCCCACTCCTGACGGGCCTCAGATCTCAGTACCTCCGTACGAGTAGAGAGCACCCGAGTCCAGGGCTGGGTGGTGTACAAAGTACATGGGTCCAGGTCCGGGTCCGGGTCCAGGTCCAGCTCGCGCCAAGCCCAGGGGGCGGCACATGGTCTGTCGCCATGACATGGATAAATCGCCAAGCGCGAACCCACGCTGCGGCCCCCTAGCACGCCCGCCCAGGCCCCAGGCGGCAGGAGCCAGGTGGTGCCTGCCGTCCACGACCGGCCGTGTCTGTGGCTGCGGGTGCGCAGCAGAGCCGCCTGCTCCCACCTCGAAATGGAAATTAATATTGACCTCGTCGATGCCTCCTTCTAGAACCGCTCTCCGCTCCGGTTCAAAATTAATTAATCTTTTTTTTTTTCCTCCCACCGAGACACGATGCCCCGGCCGTTCCTCATCGTGCCGCTGTACATGTACCCTCTCGAGGCCGCGTGGGAACCGCTCTTCCGCGCAGCCCGCAGCCATCCCGACGTCAGCTTCGTCGCCATCGTCAACCCCAACAGCGGGCCGGGACCAGACTCTCTCCCCGATGCCAACTACCTGGCTGCCCTGCAGGAAATGCACGGCGTGGCCAACATTTGCGCCCTTGGCTACGTCTTTTGCAGCTATGGCGAGCGTCCCGAGGCTGCTGCACGTGCCGACATCGCCAGGTACTGTCGATGGAGCCGCCACGGCAACATCTCCCTCGCCGGCATCTTCTTCGACGAGACGCCATCCCAACTTTGGCGCCTGACGTACATGGCTAGTCTTGCGCACTACAGCAGGCTGACGTGGCGCCAGGAAACAGGCAAGGACGGCGTCGTCATCTACAACCCAGGCGTCGTCGTCCCCCGTCCCTTCTTTGCACATGCAGACTTTGTCGTCGTCTTTGAGCAGTCTCACCATCACTGGGACGCAACCTTAGCACCTCGGGGCCTGGCACGCGCCCCAGTCGAGGTTCGCTCCAAGACGGTAGCCGTGATCCACTCCAGCCAGGCGGGGGCCGCCCAGGTGGGGGACTTGACGAGATATGTCCTGTCCCTAGGCCTAACCGGCCTCTTCGTCACGGACCAAAAGGACGGTGGCTATACGCAGTGGCCGTCGCTGTGGACGGAACTAGCGGCCGCCATGGCAGCCGAGTGCTCGCAAGCTGCGACTCAGTCTTGTGCGCGCCCCCAAGATCATCACCAAGCTTGGTCCGGCTAGTTGTAAGCGATAATGGTTGGCCACGTGCGCCGTGCCTTGTACTTAGTCACTGTTTATTCCACAAATATCCTCGCCTAGATGTAATCAACTACCACTACATGGTCTAGTCTAGTCTCCCTTCCTCCATCCCCAGGGCTCTCCGGCCCAATCAGCTAAAAATGTCCGTTGTAAACACCTTCTTGTCGCAATACTCTACCCAACCGTCCAAGTTCTTCTTCTTGATGACGGTGCTGAACTTGTTGGCGCCCTTGGACTTGCCTCTCCTGGAACATATGTCTGTGGACATGGTGGCACTGACGCCCCTGGTCGAGCCGGCATCCTTGGGGTACTCAATGTTGAAGACGGGCTTCCCTGCCTCGATAAACGGCGAATACGACTCGCACTCGCTGTTCTCAACACACTGCTCGTTGACTGAAAAGGCAACTACGTCTATGACATCGTGTATGATGTCTGCAGCGTTCTTAAGGCCCGTCGACATGTTGTACGCGGCTGCCTCGTCTGAGAGGAACTTGACGAAGTCGACAGCTTGCTCACTGGTCAGCCCTATGCCGTTGTCGTTTTGCTAGTATTCCGGTGAGCCAGGTGTCCGTTTTTTTTTTAAAAAAGAAAAAAAATTAATTTGAACCATCATGGCCCCCCCGCCCCCAACCCTCTTCAAAGGAGGGTGGGGGGGGGACATGGGGCCGGAGTCGTGGCCGGGTTTTATCGGGTGATCTACTTACATAGCCGTCGACGTTGTCCGGGTCAATGGCGAGGCAACCTTTGGAAGCGGCGAGCTTGATCCGCTCCTTCATAATGTCACGCACCGAAGGGCTGGACACGTTGAGCCACCTCTCGCCTGGCCAGTCGTCCAGCGGCTTTCCCATGTCTGCCTGGTCGAACCTGTCCTTGTCGCTCCGCCATTCCTCGTAGGTTCCCGCGCTGAAGTAGCAAATAACCTTGATGCCGGCATTGTAAAGCCGAACAAATGAGTCGGCGTCGTTGTCGAACATGTCGAGGTCGTACACCTCGGTCCTTGGAGTGACGGCTCCATCGTCGGCCAACTTGACGGGTTTGCTGAGGATGATTTGCCACGGTGTACCGGCTTTGGGCTTGTAAAGGGTAGTTCGGTTGACGCCAGAGCCGGGCGGACGGGGTTCCTCGCCTTGGTCGTCTTGGCCGCCTTTTCCCCTCGTCAGCCCGACACCAAGGCCGACAGCCAACGCGATGATTATGAGAGCAGCAGCAACGGCGGCGGCGATGATGAACTTTTTCGACCGCCACCATGGCCCGCGGGCCGGTCGTGCTGCCTCGGGGGCGTTTCCGACTTGTTTGCCCATGGCGACGTCGGAAGAATAAAGCAGTAAAAGGATGGACAGACGCTTCGTTTCCCAAGGCTCGTGGACAAATATCAATCGGTCCTTGCCAACGCGCCGGTCGCGAATCAGCAGCCACGGCGGACACAGCGCCAAAGCGCCGCCGGACAGGACACCAAGGTCGCATGAACGGACTCCAGTGACAGTCGAAGCACCGAAGCCCCTCCTGAGGCACCCCACAGGTCTCAATGGTGCACCCGCAGTGAAGGCCTTGACAGGGATCATGCCATCGGCCTGCGATTGAGCTTTGACCGCCGCGTCAAGCATCGACGGCTACTCCGTACAAAGCAAGAAAGCCGGCATGGGCATCCAACCTCGGCCCCCCCCCTCTTCCCCCCCACACGAACAAGTCCAGGTCAGGGGCGCCATGGTTTTTCCTTTTCCTGCAGTGTAACCCTGGTTTAATGAGCCCCCCCGTTACTTCGCAAGGGAGAGACAGCATGTAGCCCATGGAGGGTGCTAGGATATGAGTGGGAGCGCTGAGAGAACAAATAAAGAACCTTGGTGTTCTTTACTAGTGTCTGCTGGTATCCCTGCCCATTGCTTGACAGCAACTCGCCTTGAATACTTGGATCGCTGATGGAGCAGGGACCGCTTGCTCTATCGGCCGCGTTACGTCACGGGCGGTTAATTAAACAGGGGCTAGGGCTTATATTGTACGAGAGCATAGTCCTCGGACGAGCGCTCGCCGACAAAAGCTGAACGGGCGGCACAGCAGTTGTCACCGTGTCGCATTTGACTTGCGCCCGTACTTCTATCCTTGACGGCTGTGGTCAAATCTCGTATCCTGATGTCATGCCTCTCAGCTCTCGACGGTGTGCTTTCTGCCTTGTACAACCCGGTACAACCTAGCTAGTTGCTCACCCAACTAGCTAGCTTCTCCGGTTGCTGTGTGTAATGCTTGGTGCAGCTCGTGTTTAATTTTGATCCTACAGCTCTAGGTAGCTGGCTAGTTTCTTGGTGGGTCTGGTAGTCATGGGCCAGATCCTATGAATAGATGCGGCGTACCTAAGTATGAGAGTCTTATTCAATGTGCCCTCTCTCGCCCCAGACAGCCTAGCCGGCCTTGGTCCAGAACAATAGATTAGCTAGAGTCTCCCCCTGCTGCATGCAGTAGCTGTATTTCTAGGCAACTTGAATTTGCAGCTTGACTTTATTAATAGGTTGCTGGGCTAGAAGTATAAGCGGCTCCATGTATACAGGTCGAGTCTATGCAATGCACTACTTTTGCCTTTAGATCTGTTGTCGTTGTCCTTTTTCGGGTCTAGGGTTGGCCTGCAAATTACTCCAGCTCGTGTAGTATTGTAAGCCCAAGTCTACTACCCCACACTCAGATCTTGAGTTGGGGCTGTAATACGGCCTTTTCGTAACAGGGATGAAAACTCAAGGTTGAACAAATAAACCCTAATTTTGTGAATCACAGCCCAAGTTACCGACTCTTAATGCAATAGTCTTAGTCTTGCCGGGGGCTTTGAAGTAAATCGCTCATCCATGCCGTTAAGCTGTCTGTGTAGCGCCACCGGATATCCGGCCTTGCGCGGTCAATGATAAGAGATCTAGACGCAGTTCTAGACAGGGAGAGTATCTGGGCCTTTGCAAGCATATAACTCCTTCTTCCTTGCAATTGAAGTGACATTGGGAAACCCACTAGCCATCTCGCCCTGGCCCAACTCTGCAACTCTGCTGTGCAATAGGTTGTTAAAGAGCACCCGGGTTAATATTAACTCTTCTTCTGTTTTTCCGTCTGTAGGTGGACAGACTTTAGTCTACGAAGCATGGGGTTTGCTGTCCCTGATGTCTTCCTCGGGGCTTTTTGCGCGCTTTGCGTGTTTGGAAGTATCGTCCCAACCGCCGCCATTTCTGCTGAGAGCACCATCTTGATCCTTGCTCCCGCTGATGCCGATGCCAAGAGCGCATCAATGGGCCTTGAAGGCTATGGAATACCCTACCAAACACTAATTGTCCCGGCCGGAGGCATAACCCTGCCCGCGCTCAACTCTTCAGCGACACGGGGCAATTACGGCGGTATCGTCGTCGTCTCTAATGTGTCGCATGATGTCAACGGCTCATATCAAAGCGCCATCACAGATCAGCAGTGGGATCAGATATACAGCTATCAGTTCTCCTTCAAGGTGCGCATGGTTCGACTGAATGCGTATCCTATCCCCGACTACGGTAAGTCAACGGAATGCAACGACCGCTGGACGCCTTGTCCTGACATTCTCAAGGCACTGCCCCTGCCAATAACTACCAAACTGGCTGCTGCGACAATGATGAGCAGAAGATTAGCCTCAGCGATACTTCCTTATTTCCTGGAGCAAATATTAAAGCGTAAGTAAGTACCCTCAATCTAGATGACACACGCACGCACGCACGCACGCACGCTCATTCACCCCCTCGCACGCGCCTTGGCACGTAACTAAATGAAAACAGAAATGCTCTCTTATCTACACGGGGCCTCTGGCACCACCCGACCACCATAACCAACACAAAAACAACCAAAGAGGTGGCGAGTTTTGAGCCGGCAGCCGGTTACCCTTCAAAGACTACGGCGGCGGTGATCCATTCCGTCAGCGGCCGCGAGCAGATGGTATGGTTCATCAGCTGGGCTCCTGCCTGGTCTCAGACATCTGCATTCTTGCAGCACGCCTATATCCACTGGATAACCCGTAGTCTGTTTGTCGGCAAGCGCCAAACCTACCTGAACGTCCAGGTTGATGACGTGCATCTCGACACGCAACTCTATTATCCCAACAACTCTGTTTTCAAGATCCGAACCGGCGACCTCGACGCCCACGTCAACTGGCAAAAGAATCTTGCTACCCGCATACCGCCCGGGTCGGACTTCTGGCTTGAGCTCGGCCACAATGGAAACGGCAACATAGTTAGTGCCACCGATCAAAGGAATTCTGCCTTGGTTTGCAAACCAAATTACGCCGTCGACTATCACTCTCCTCCAGATACTCCTCTCGAGTTCAAGAAGCCACCTGGTACTGGTGTGGACCTTTGGCCCGCGGAATTCAAGAACTATACGTGGTCTACCTTGTGCTCCAGACTCGACCCCGTTGGCCTCTGGTTCACTAATCCGGCCAACCTTAACTCCTTTGCTCATGTGTCACACACCTTTTCCCACGAGGAGCTCAACAACGCCACTTACCATGACGCCTCTCGTGAGATCTTCTTTAACCAGGCCTTTCTGAAGTCGCTAGGCATCGACAAGGCTACTAGATTCTCTCCTAAGGGCATCATCCCGCCTGCCATCACAGGCCTGCACAATGCAGACGCTATCAGGGCGTGGAAGGACAACGGCATCAAGTACGTTATTGGGGACAACACTCGCCCGGTTCTACGCAACCAGAACAGCGTATACTGGCCCCTTCCCACGAGTGTGCAGTCCAACGGCTATGAAGGTATGACTATTGTCCCTCGCTTTGCCACCACTATCTACTTCAACTGCGACCTTCCCTACTGCACGCTAAAGGAGTGGAAGGACACGTCTGGCGGTTCTGGAGACTTTAACAACCTCCTAGACGACGCGCGTGCCGTCAACGTGCGTAACCTTCTCAGCCTCCAGGCCGACCCGTATATGTTCCACCAGGCCAACATGCGCCAGACTGACGTCACTCCTATGACTATTGGCACACAATCAGGGAAATTATCTCTCCTCATGGCATGGGTTGAGACAGTCACCCAAGAAATAACGCGTCTAACAAATTGGCCTCTGTTGTCTCTGAAGCACGACGACATTGCCAACTACTTCCTGAACCGGATGACGCTAGATGGATGTCAGCCAAAGTCAACACACACGTACTCTGCCGACGGCAATGCAATTGTGTCTGTGCAGGTGACGGCAAACGGGAACACGTGCAGCGTCCCTGTTCCCGTCACCATCCCTGATGGCACAGCTGCCACTGTGGGACTCCAACCCATACAGTCGATCAAGCTTGGGAGTGAGCCGACGATCCTCTGGGTGACCCTGTCCGGGAAGCCCGTGGACATAAAGCTGTCGAACCCCGTCCGGCTGGGTTGAGACAACGAGACCGTTGTCAATTTACACTTGCGGTTCGAAGCTTCTCTCCAAGTCTTGACTTCCGTCTTGAGGTTATTTATCGTAAAAGTTTTGTCCCATGCAAACTACAGGGACGGAATCACGAACAGCATTGCAGTTTACGCACACTCCTAATAGGGACGCGAGGTTGAAATTGCAGGAGCCCCAGTGAACGGTCCAGTACGAGCGAATTAGAAAACGCCGTCCTCGGCCGCCCAGCCCACGGCGTCTACGGCACTTGCAGCGTGAGAGGTTGTAACAAGGGCTCGTCACAGATATTAGGGCTTGGAGCAAAGATTCATACCAGCATATAGTATTATATAGTCTCAAGAACTTTAGTTCCTCAATCTAAAGAACCTGGCAAACATGAGCTATATATATAAGAAGATACTTGTGTGTGTAACTTGACCTAAATATTTACGATATTAAGAGGTTAAGCTACATCAGGCCTTTGGGACTTGATGCCTAGGCCTGCGTGCGCCTAATATGAGCGTCGTGATAGCTGCAACATTTGTGCATTATATAGTTGAGGCGTTCACCGCAGGATCCGTGTAACAGGGCTTGACTCTGCTCTTCGTCCCTATATTTATTTCAACAACGCGTATTCAGGTACTCGTCTGGGAAATAGAATAGCTAATATACTTGCCTTTAAAACGTTGTAGCTTTGATGGATTACTAAGGACTAGGCTTACAGGCCACTGCGTGTAAGCGTTACTAGTATCAACTACAAACGTAAGAGGAAAAGAGGAGAGGGAAGATTCCCCTACTTCCCCTTTACGTATAGCTATATACCCTCCGTCCCTAACGAGCATCCAACGAGTCTCCGACAAGGCGCCAACGCGAGGTCCTTGTAAAGGGCTAGCTATGTCTAGCATTAGATGATGCACCACGCGGACCGGCGCGGCATCCGTACGCCTAAAGTTGATTAATGTTAGGCTGCCCCTGGAGGTATCTTCTGTCGCAATTGTTGTCCTGTAGCCACTAGTGCAGCCGTTCGAACGGCGTTTTCCACTTGTTTGCCTGCTGCGGCCATCTGTTGTTTAGATACACTGCAGTTTTCCAGGCCTCGGGCCACAATTCGTCCGGAAAGTTGTCACCAACCTGCATTAGGCGAGACTACCTGCCTATTGCACCCCTAGGTCGTTCGGCAGGCCCATTTTGTGCCGGTGTGTCAGGACTCAGGAGCGGCGGGCTTGTCGTTGATCCCTTGGGATCTGACCCATGTCGTATATTCTTTACTGAAGCGCTCTGTCATTATCTCGATGGATGACGCAGAAGGATGTGTCGAATTGTTGTCGTGTGTAGACCTCAAAGGCCTTCAGCACTCCAAGGATACTTGCAGTGGTTACATCTGTCAAGATATATGGAGATGATATGTGTAATTATCTCTGATTAGCGCGGCATGTTTCATTCTGTTGTATCCGTCGCTCATGGCGAAGATGTCAACATAGATGCGCTAGAGTGGTTGTAGTGCTTTTGTCTGCAGGCTTCGTCGCGAGACTATGCGTCTTGCTTTTGAGACGGCGCAGTCTTTTCGCACTTGATCTTGAGTGGGCCTTTGATATTAGCTCCGGTTGTTTGTTGAACTAGGTGCTCAAGGGCTTCAGTTGAGCCACAGACGCAGAGAGTCGGGGGACAGCCAAGTTTGTCGGCCAAACTGCCTAGGGGAATAAAGCTAAGGATATTAGTTCCCTCTAGCAATTTAGTGAGCACTTATGCCTCTTCAACCTTCCCTGGAAGCGCGCTATGATCTTGGCCACAATTAACAGAGGAGTCAGCTTCTTACTCACGACTATAGTACCCGCCAAGTAGTCCATATGAAACCTAGCACTGCACATTGCTTGGGAGTTATGCCCAGCTTTAGCCGCCTTTTTCTTGTGTATATGTTTAGCTAACACTATCTTCTCGTGCAGGTAACCTCTCTAGGCCTAATGGCGACGAAGCAGACACCACAATATATTTGGTTTGCCACGCCGGTAGTGCAGGCTTCCACATGTAGCGACTGGGGCTTGCGCCAGGTCGCCACAGCTCTAAGGCTCGTTATAAAGCCTTAGGCTTTTCTGGCGTTAATGCTTGCCGGCCGCCTGATATTTAATCTACACTTGTACACAGCCTTCCGCCATCGGCGTGACTTCCATTAGGCGCGAAAGGAGGCCCTCTTTCTGACAAGCCGTTTGCTCGCCGTCTTTGCTGGGGCATTAGTGATTGAATTCCTGGGACCGCTAGTCGTCACCTTTATCAAACCGCTGGCCGTGCTTTGCTTGCATGCTTCCGGGGCATTGGCGTTCCTTCTTCCCGCCTCAAGTCTATTCGCAGTGGCTGACTTTGGGTACATTGGAGTCCATATTTTGCGCACGGGAGGGTGCCAGGCTTTTTCGCTGTTGCAAATGATAAGGCTGCCGCGGCCGACCAATTTGATTGAATACCACTTGTTGTCGTTGATATCTGCATGCAACAAAGACATGAGCAATTTCTCCAACAAGCAGACTGGGTGCTATTGCTACGTGTCAAAGTATTTGGAAATTTGCAAGACTCGCCAGTTACCCCGATGGTGCTGGGGTCTCGGGGAGTTGACGGAATTTCTTCCTGGCGCCGACTTACATTCAAGCATAAAATCAAAGATTTCCAGTCAGTCAAGTAAGGAGACTGGCTAGGTTGTTTTTAAGAGCATGTATGTTCATGATGCCCAAAACTGATACGCTTTAAAATTTCGGTTTTACAGTATTTTCCACGTGACAGCGTTCAGAGTTCTGAGTGAGGTCTATTGTACTTGGCCACGGGAATATAGAACACGAGCAGGCACTGCTCTTAGCTCGTCTGTCGTGAGAAACTACGCCCTGAACACCAAACCGTCTAGGGAGCTTTGCCCTGTCTATTGAGCTAATTTGGTTCATGTCGGGCTTGTTGGCCGCATCCGGGACATCATCCCATCAACCCGTGTGACAAGAAGCCTTCGGGTGCAGCCGACCCGAAATCGTGTGGCGCGAGGGTCAGGGATTCCCAGTGAATAATTTAACCTGTCCCCTGCACATGGATGAAAGTGGCGCCAGGCGTCTTGCCGACGCCCTTGTGTGGCTGCAGGGACTCGGGACTCGGGAGCACCAAAGGAGGTCTGATGCTGAAAACGCGTATATAGGACGAACAGAAACCAACATTCTTTCTGTCCTCTCCGCACCAACGCATAAGCCCTTGTACGCACTGGTAAACGAAGCGCAGGCACTACGGCTCACAAGGTCGGCCTGGCAAAACCTCTCTGTGGCGAGCTTCGACAGGCCTGCCTGCCTGCACGTTGCTACTACGATGGGCGGAATCAATGGATGGTGGTGCCATTTCCTGGCAAGCTACATCTACGCAATACGAGGGCCGCCGCCCCGACGATGGACGAAACCCATGGAGGTCCTCTGCCTGGGATTGCCACGATCCGGGACCGAGTCTCTGCAAACTGCCCTGTTGGAAGTTGGAACTGGGCTACGACCACACCCACTACGGGTGGGATATCGTCTTTGAGGAGCCCAACCGTGCTCCGCAATGGGTCACAAACTGCAAGGCGCCTCGATTCAAATGGTCGACCCAAAGGACCATTTTGGCAACCAACGTTGCCCTTGTAGTAAATGGGTCCTATGAACTCGGAGCACTGGCCGTCTAGCTCTTCTCAAGTCCCTGCAGATGAGGGTCGATTCTAGACAGAGCGTTGGAGTCCACGAGCGGAACTTGAAATTTGTGCCTGGCACGGACCGAGTAGTAGGCCAGTCCAAACACTATCCAACCACCAAGCACGACTATTGAGTAGTTCATGTTCTGTGGAGTGACGGGCAAGGTTGCCGGAAACAAGCTGAATATCATGACGGTGATCATCCACGCAGCACTCAAGAGGTTGAGCACGATGCCCGGCACAAAGCCGAGACGGAATCTACCGTACTGTTCGGGCTGCAAGTTCCACCGGCCATACCGGAGCATGTACAGGATGGGCAAAAGATACGACAGGTAAAGCGCGACTATTGCCATCGAAAGGATGGCACTAAAGGCCGTGTCATTTCCGAGGTAGATGAAGCCCAGTAAGACTTGAAGCACAACGACAACCGCGACGGCGTTTAGGGGAATGTGAAGACGGGGGCTGATGTGTGATAGAAACTCGTGGCAAGGGGTAGCTTGGTCTCGGGAAAACGCCCAGAGGGTTGTCGATGTCGACGTGATTCCGGCTACGGCCGACGCGGCCGCAACGGATGTCAACATGGCAGACATGACTGTGGCGCCAACCCGTGAGTTGGTAGCGTCGAGGAATATCTGCATAAATGAGAATCCCATGGGCGCATTTTCCAGGTCCGTAGAGCTGGCCGAGTACAGCAGCACAGTGACATATGCCAGACCCATGACCCCGTTGATAAGGACACTTCCTACCATTGCCAGGGGAACATTTCGGCTTGGTTGAGGCAGCTCCTCTGCGAGATGGCACGCTGCATCGTAGCTGCGCACCAAAGTCAGCAACGTAGTAGAGCAGCAGGACAAGGCGGAAAACAGAAAACAACCGTCTTACCCGAGAAACGGATATACAGCGCTGATAAGTCCGACCAGCCAGGAAACCCCATTGTTATCCCAGCCGTTGTCATTGACCAAGTCGACAAAAACCACGTCACTGGTGGTCTTGTCGGCCAGCACCGCGAGCGTCACAAGTATGCCCACGAACCCGGCAACGTGGATGACACCTGGCTTGGTTAGAAAGAAGAGAACTGGCACGGTTCCGGATCTTCTGCCATGGGAACCAACCTGAGAGGATGCTTAGACGAGGCATTGTCCTGATGCCGTAGATGTTCAGCGCGCCTGCACAGGCCAGTACACTGCAGTACAGCAGCATGCCTTGCCATCTCGCGGGGACATAGTTGGCTTGGTTGAGCACTATCAAGCCTTGGGTCTGCAGGCCGGTAGCAAATGCCGCGGATGACGTAAAGACTATCTGGCCACCCACCGAGATCCAACCGGTAAAATAGGCAGCGGCCGTCTTGCCAGGTCCGGGACACAGAGCCGCAACCCAGTGGTATTGACCTGCGGCAGACATGAATGAGCAAACGGCGAGGCTACCCGCTGCCACGAGGCCCCTTCCTCACCTCCAGCTGTCGGATAGATGGATGCAATCTCCCCGAGAGAGGCAGCAACGCACATTGAGAGCACAAAGGACAGGATGCTAAGCCTCGTCAGTCAGCGCTCTCGATCCTCGACAGGCACGTCACACGGGCTCGTCTTACTAGTTGTAGAAAAGGCAGGGAGAGCCGCCACTGACAAGGGCGGTTCCAACGACAGTGGACGTGGCTTCCCACGTTGCCATGAGACAGAGGCAGAGAGAGACGAGCGCCGGAAGCGAGAATCGCCTCTTGAGCTCTTGCTGATGGCCCAACTGGGCGAGAGGCTGCTCGTCCATGGCTTTGCCTGGGGTGTTGCGGAACTGGAACTGGAAGAACAGCGATCTGCGCGAGCGTGCTCCAGAGGACGGCGCTTTCTCTGCTGCAGCTGCTGCAGCAGATGGTTTCCAACGGGAGTTGTGCAAGTTTTAATCGTGACGGTGATGGCAGAGGAGGCTGGATGTAGTCTTGATGGTAAACACGTATGGGCTAATTCCAGACGCAAATAGATTACGCTAGTCCCAATCTAGAAAGGCACTCTTGCACACAACTTTTCAGTGAAGGTACCTGTGGAATCTTTCTCAGCTACCCGTAGCTAAAGGAATTACGATGTGACTGGTCGCCCTGGTCCCTCCCTGTAATTCCCCGCCGCTGAGATGCCGTGAAGGACGGACGGTTCCGGGATTGGGGGGGGATCATGTCGGAAGTGGTCGAATCTACCGGACTATTGGCAATCAAAGGATGCAACTGTCGAAAAACGTCGACGTCGGCATGTAACTACCATACCAGGCGAATTGTGGTTTGGGCAGGGTACGGTACAGAAGCGCAGTGCAGACGTGTGCAAGGGTTTCATTGGCCGCAGCTTCACTTTATTTCCCAATTGGGAATTGGGGTAACGTATTTTTTTTGCTTCGCTCAACGGGCCCTGCTATTTGTGCGGCAGAAAATCGCTATTCGTGCGGCACTAAGCCCCATATGCTCACTGCTGGATTGGGAAAGGTGGAATAATTGAACAACACGCGCGTGCGTCACGTTGACACCTCAGCCCACCCGGAAAATGCACGCCGTGTTCCGAAGCCGCAAAGTTTCGCAGGCAGAACCAGTGACCAGAGCAGCAAAGTGAGCCCTCGGGGCAACGCTCAAGATTAAATCGCGGTATCCTGGCTGCCCGAGCCGTCCTTGATTTCGTTTCATCCATCGGCGCTCCTGTCCTGTTCTCTCCTCCCTCCGACCAAGCCTGCCTGCCACCCATTTCCCGCGCGCACCCCGTCCTGCCGCCGTGACAATGTCGCCGGTTCCACACCCCCTCTCGGACCTCTCTGTCAAAGAGTCCAACGTTGCGAGAGACGTCGTCTTGAAGCTGCATCCCGGGACCGTCATCGACTTTCGGGCAATCTATTTGCTGGAGCCAGAAAAGGAACATGTGCTCGGCTTCTTGAGCCTCGAACACGCGGGCAAGGTGGTGGCCGACACCCCTCGCCCCGTTCGCCTCGCGCAGGTCAAGTACGATGTCATTGGAGGCGCCGAGCCCACGCAATATCACGAATCCGTCATCAATCTCGCATTGGCCGAGAGGATCAAGCACACCGTGGTGGGCCAGGAGCACCATGCCAGTCTGTCCATGTAAGTCGACAGCGTTCCCCCCCCGTGCATGCCCCGAGCCTCGCGCAGCGATGAACCCGGCTCACCCGCCCAACACAGCTTCGAATTCGAGAGAGTGGTGGAATGCATCACAAAGTCGTCGGTCTTCCAGGAGAAGCTCAAGACCATAGAGCTCCCCGAGGGCTTTGAGCTCGTCGTGGAACCATGGCCGTACGGAGGGCCAGACGAGGCCGACGGCCAGACTCGATTCTTCCAAGGCCTCTGCTTCGGCCGGGACACGAGGAGCGGGAACCCCGACTCCAACTTCTACGCCTACCCGCTGCCCTTTATCCCCGTCGTGGACGCCAGGAAGATGGAGGTGATTCGCATCGACCAGCCGGCGACGGGCGGCAAGGGCGATCCGCTAAGCGGCGCATCGCACAAGACGCGCGTCCTGGACCACTGCCGCCCCGCAGAATACGTGCCCGAGCTCGTTCCGGGCGGCACCAGGAGGGATCTGAAGCCCCTGGCCGTGGTGCAGCCCGAGGGCGCGAGCTTCGCCGTGTCCGAGACCAACCTCGTCGAGTGGCAGAAGTGGCGGTTCCGCGTCACGTTCAACCCGCGAGAGGGAGCGGTGCTGCACGACATTCGCTACGACGGCCGCGATGTCCTGTACAGGCTGAGCATCAGCGACATGGTGAGAAATCTCCCCCCCCTCACCCCGCCCCCGCCCTAGCCAGTTCCAACCCGGTGCCTGACGCTCCTCCAGACGGTGCCGTATGCCGACCCCAGAGCCCCGTTCCATCGCAAGCAAGCCTTTGACTTTGGCGACGGTGGGCTGGGAAACTGCGTAAACAACCTGACCCTTGGATGCGACTGCCTCGGTGTGATCAAGGTAGGCGGCCCACGAGGGCCACGACGAGCCCGGCCCACTCCCGTGTGTCGGAGGACTGACATTCCCCGGTCGTCTAGTACTTTGACGGCCTCCTCACCAACCCCAATGGCTCGGCCCAAGTGAGCAAGAACGTCATCTGCCTCCACGAGCAGGACAACGGCATCAACTGGAAGCACACAAACTGGCGGACTGGCCGCGCGGTCGTGACGCGGCGCCGGGAGCTCGTGGTCCAGTTCATCATCACCCTAGCCAACTACGAGTACGTCTTCGCCTTCAAGCTGGACCAGGCGGCGGGCATCACGGTGGAGGCGCGCGCAACGGGCATCGTGTCCGTCGTCAACATCGACCCCGGGAAGACGGCGCCGTGGGGCAACGTAGTCAGCCCGGGGACGCTCGCCCAGAACCACCAGCACATCTTCTGCGTGCGCATCGACCCCGCCGTCGACGGGCACCGCAACTCGCTCGTCCAGGAGGAGAGCGTGCCCGTGGCCACGGACCCGGCGACCAACCCGCACGGAAACCTGTACGAGGTGCGGACGTCGGTCGTCAAGACGTCGGCCGGGCTGGACCTCGACCCCTTCAAGAACCGCGTCTTCAAGGTCCAGAACGTGTCAAGCAGGAATCCCGTCAGCGGCAAGCCGGTCGGGTACAAGATTGCGACGCCGCCGACGCAGCTGCTGCTGGCTGCGCCCAACAGCGTGCAGTCGAACCGCGCCCGGTTCGCGCGGCACCACGTCTGGGTGACGAGGTACAAGGACGACGAGCTGTACGCCGGGGGCCGGTACACGCTGCAGAGCCGGAACGAGGTGGGCGGTCTGGCCGACGCCGCCGCCCGGGGTGACGACGTCGACGACCAGGACATTGTGGTGTGGACCGTCTTTGGGCTGACGCACAACCCCAGGGTCGAGGACTGGCCGGTCATGTATGCGAAACCTTTGGTCCCCCTTTCCCCTTTGCCTCTCTGCGCTCTCATCTGTCCCATTTTCGAGCGGTTGCTAACACTGCTTCAGGCCTGTGGAGATGCTGCAAGTGCACATTACGCCGTCCGACTTCTTCACGGGCAACCCTGCGCTCGACGTGCCGTCCGGCACGGACAGCGGATCAAAGCTGGCCGGCGGGGAGTGTTGTAGGACGTCGGAGTAACGGGAATAGTGTACGAATATACGTACGTACAAGCTAGATTCGAATTCAGTCGCCACAGACCAAAGGACACGCACTCGAGCAAGTGAACCTGTCCTCTTTCGAGACGCAAGGATGCCCCTACTGTAGCTACACGAAGCGTCAACGCTTTGTGCGGGCACTTTTGCGAGCACGTCCTGGCCCTCTTGGCGCGGGCTGCATTTTTTCCCTTTTTTTCCTTTTCTTCTTTTCCCGCAATAACAAATTCACAAGCTGTCCTGTCCACTTTTGCTATCCGTGTCCGTGTCGGGACGACAAAACACCGTCCGCAAGGCCCGTGTCGTGCAAGCGTCTCCGTGTCACGTAGATGCGCTAGCCTGCCGCACCAGGACCAGGACCAGGACCAGGACCAGGACCATTCCGACACGCCGGCCAAGCGAGGCTTTCCGAATTCCGGCGCCCCCTCGCCCCGTACGTGCTACAGCGCTCAAGTACACGCTCTACGTACGGTTCTCTGGCACGACACAGTACCAAGGGCGGGCACTCGGACCGGCGTAATGCAATGCTGGCGCTGCTTAAAAAAAAAAAAAAAAAAAAAAAAAAAAAAAAAAAAAAAAAAAGAGCACAAAAACAGACGCAGCCGCGCGACATGATATTTGCGCCAAGGCTCCCCCTCCACTCTGCACTCTGCACTCTGTACTCTGTACAAACATCACGTCTGGGCACACACGGCACTTGGCCGAGCAACAAATTAAACCCCCTTCTGCTTCATCTGGAGAGATAACATGGCGCAGCCGCAAACCCCAGCCACGGCCACGGCCACGGCCACGGCAACGCCGATCCACCGCGTCACCCTGTTCAAGATTGCGAGCAACGACGACCAGCAACGCCTGCTGCAGCTGTACCAGCAGATGCCGACCAAGGCCCTCAAGGTACGTGCTCGGATGTTTCTGCATCCTCTCGCGCTCTCACGTCGTCCCGTTCTCACGCAACCCCCCGCCCCAGCACGGCAAGCCCTACATCCGGTCCGTGGTGGCTGGCCCGGCTGAGCCGGACCAGCGCGCGCAGGGCTTCACCTTTGCCGCCGTCTCCGTCTTCAGCTCGGCCGCCGACATGGCCTACTACGACGGCGAGTGCGCCGCGCACGCCGAGCTGCGGGCGTTTGCGAGGACGGTGCACAGCGGTGCAATGGTGGTGTTTTTCGAGAACCGCCTGTAGCTGGGTGGTGGCTGGGGGTCTGTCCGGTGTTTTCATGTACACATGTATCAATTTGGCTCTTGGCCCTTGGCCCTTGGCCCTGGCCTTGTCCTTGGCCGGACGGGAGGGGGGCGTAACAAGAAGAGACGAGACAAAAGAACACACACCACTATTCATTCAAACCGCATGCACGCGCGTACGCGCATGCCATCGTCTCGCCTACATGAGCCCCTGCAGGAAGCGGCGCGAAATGTTTAGCCCGTCCGCGTTGGCCAAGTCGACGTCGAGGGCGCCGTAGAAGCCCGCGTCGAAGTCGTCCTGGTGCGGCGTCCCCTGGCCGAGCGTGTCGAAGAGAGTCAGGATGTCGCTGTTCAGCCCGGCCATGTCGGGAATCTCGGCCCCCGCCGCCCACATGTCGTCGTCGGGCCGGCCGAGGGACCGGCGGCCGCGGAGGTAGGATTGCCCGTCGTTGTTTGCGCTTGCGCTCATGCTCATGCCCGTGCTCGCCGGCTGCTGCTGCGGCTGGCCCGGGCTGTGGCCGCGTGCCGCCGCCGCCGGGCTCGGGTGGTCGCCGCCGTCATCGCAGTCCTGCAGGCCCAGGCTCTTGAGGCGCGGCAGCAGGCCCCGGATGCTCTTCCACAGCCGGTGGCTGGCGATGCTGTGCCGGCTGAAGCCGCGCACGAGCCCGACGGCGTCGATGAAGCTCTGCGCGCACCCCGCGGCAAAGGTGCTGGGCGCGTGGCAGATGGCCAGGGAGATGACGGCAAAGGCGCTGAGGAGGAAGTAGTTGAAGGCGGTTTGCTGCCTCGAGTAAATGTCCGACGTGGCGTTGAGGTGGACCAGGACCTGGACCGTGTCCTGCGCCAGCTCGACGGCCACCTTGGCCCGCGCCAGGTCGGCCTCGATGGCGGCCGCGCTCAGCAGGTGGTGCTGGTAGATGGAGATGCGCGTCAGGTTGCCCCGGAGGTACAGAAAGGCGCGCAGCCGGTGCAGGACCCGGGGCTGCGACCTGGTCGAGTAGAAGACCCGTGGATGCCGCATCTGGAGGTGAGGCGGGATCGACTCGAGCCACGCCTGCGTGCTCGAGTCCAGCGCATGCGCCACGTCCGCCGGGATCGACTGGCACGGCGCGCCAAACGGCGGGATCGCGTCCCACAGCTTGGAGCACAGGCGCGCGTACCCGACCATGCACTTGAGGTAGGGCGAGTCGATGTCCTAGCCGTCACGGCCCCGTCACGTCAGTCAGCACGCAGTCACGGGAAACAACGGGGAGGGAGTCGGGGGGTCGAGTTCGCTGACCGGCTCCAGCAGCGCTGGGTCAATGTCCCTGTCGGCGAGGGCAAACGAGAGGCTCGTGCCGAAGCTCCATCGACGGTCCAGGACGTAGCAGCACCAAAAGACCCTGAGCGCGGCGTGGCGCGACTGCGCATCGGCAAAGTTGTCGTGGAGGCTCCTGCGCCGGTGCAGGCCCATCTCGAGGGCTTCGCGGGCCGCAACGCCAATCGTCCGCCACGCCAGCAGCTCGTCGTCGCTGTGGAAGTGGTATATGCTCTGCGCCCGGCGGTTAGAAACGGCGGCTCGAGGGCGGGGGGATGAGAAGCTGGATGCCCCTCAGGTCCACCTCGGCCCTCGATATCCGCGCCGCCTCGGCCTCGACCGACTCGGCAATGGCGGCGCAGAGGCCGTTCTTGCCGTGGGCCTCTATGGCAATGGCCGTGGCCACGGCAAGCTTGGCCAGCCTGACGTCCGTCACGGTCAGGGGCGGCTCGTGGGCGTCGGCGGCGGGCGTCTGATGGAGGAGTCGGGGGTCGCGGATGGCGCGCAGAACCTGCTCCGACCTGGATGCCAGCTCGGCAATGGCTATGAAGGGGTAGACGGATTCCACCTCCTCCTCGTAGACGGCCAGCAGCCTCGCCATCTCGTCGGGGGGGCAGCTGGCCCAGAACTCGCCGTCGGTCGCCTCGGCCTGCTCGGGCTCAGCCGGGGACGGAGCACGGCTCGGAGACGGCGACGGGGAGGCGGGTATGCCCATGCGCGTGAGGGATCGTTCGGCAATGACGAGCCCGTAGGACGGCCGGGTAGGCCCGACAAACTGCGGATGCTTGGGCACATGGTCCTTGGAGACGGCGGAAGGCGACCGAGCCGCCGCGGCGGCGTCCAACGGGCCGGCGCGAGGGCCCGGCGACTGGTGCTTGAGCTCGTCGACGGCGCGGCTGAGATGGGTGACTTGCTGTCGCAACCGGGCCAGCTCGTCGCCCAGGGCCTGCATCTGCTGGCTGCTGCGGCGGCGGGCGGCGGGCGGCACTCGTCAGCCTCTGTTCTCGCACGCAGTCCGAGTCCATCATGAGCGCGAGCACGAGCACGAGCATGCCGGGCGTGAAGGTGTGTCGGGGAGTGAGGGACGGACGGCACGACGCCGCGGCCTACGCACCTCTCATCCTTTTTCCTGCTGCTCTGCGGTGTGACGGCGGCAAAGACGCAGGTGACGCCGCCGGCCAGGCACCGCTCACAGCTCGAGCCGTTGACGGGGATGCACTTGAGCTTCTTCTTCTTGCACTCGTTGCTTGGGCATCATCAGCAACCTCATGCAGCGCGACATGGCACCACCACCTGGCACCCGTCCCCGCCCCCCTTCCCCCGAGGGCCGTGGCGTCGAGGCTGAACATACCATGCAACAGAGGTGTACTTGCCACGCTTCGGCCTCGGAGCTGCGTCAGACGACAGGCCAGGCACCGGGACCGGTCGCTTTGGAGGGTCTCCGTCGGCGGTTCGGCTGCTCACGGGCGGTGACTTGTCGTCCATGTCGACTGGCGCTGGCCCTGACATTCCGGAATGGCTCTCCTCTCGGGCGGCTGGGCTGCAGTTCCGACTGGGGATGAAGGAAAGATGGCCCGGCGATGGCAAACGAATCGTGCCATGAATGGGGTGGGACAAGAGGAGTTATGCAACGTGTCTGCGGGAAGCGTTTCCGACGTTCCGAGCGCTCGAATCGTGTGCAGACAGACGGGAGGGGGCGGGGGCCGGGGGCGTCGTTTCGGGGGTGAAGCCGCCCCATTGGTCGCGTCTGTGTGCGAACCGAGACAAGCCGCTGCGCCTGTGTCACGAGTCCTCGGTGCTCCGCGGCGAGGTGCGCAGTGAGCCGGAGTGCAGGACGGACAGTGCACACAGCGACGCACCCCGGCGACCCGACGGTCCTATTTAGTGCACCCCCCCGCTGTCCCATCGACCGACTAGGCTCGCCTCGACGCCAACTGCCAAACCGCGCTGCGCCGTCTGGAACCGCCGCCGCCGCCGCCGCCATGCTCTCGGCCGCCCGACCCGTCGTCGCCTCCCTGCTGCGGGAGCACGACGCCCGCCTTACCCTGGAGGCTCTGGCCGTCTCCCTCATCTTCGCGCCGCTCGTCTACGTGCTCGTCAACGAGGTGGTGCGGTACCACGCGCGCATCAGCGGCATGAAGGGCCCCAGGGGCCTGCCCGTCATCGGCAACCTCTGGGACATCCGCGTCAACGCGGCCGAGAAGTATCGCCAGTGGGCTCGCACGTTTGGCGACGTCTACCAGATCCAGCTCGGCAACGTGCCCGTCGTCGTCGTCAACTCGGCCGCGGCCGGCAAGTCCATCTTTGGCCAAAACGCCCAGGCCATGAGCTCGCGGCCCGAGTTCTACACCTTTCACAAGGTGCTCTCCGACACGGCGGGAACGACCATCGGCACGTCGCCGTACAGCGACTCCCTCAAGCGCAGGCGCAAGGGCGCCGCCTCGGCCCTCAACAAGCCCTCGATCCAGACGTACGTCTCGCACCTGGACGTCGAGTCGCGCGACTTCATCCGCGAGCTGTACGAGGCCGGCGACGCGGGCAGGACGCCGACGGACCCCATGCCCATGATCCAGCGCCTCTCCCTCTCGCTCGCGCTGACGCTCAACTGGGGGGTGCGTCTCAAGAGCCGCGACGACAGCCTGTTTGACGAAATCACGCACGTCGAGGAGGAGATCAGCCGGTTCCGGTCGACGACGGGCAACCTCCAGGACTTCATCCCGCTGCTGCGGCTCAACCCCGTAAGCACGCACTCGTCCAAGGCGCGCGAGATGCGCAGCCGGCGCGACGCCTACCTGGCGAGCCTCAACCACGGGCTGGACGAGCGCATCGCCAACGGCACGCACAAGCCCTGCATCCAGGCCAACGTCATGCTCGACGAGGACGCCAAGCTGACCAAGGCCGAGCTCACGTCCATCAGCCTGACCATGCTGTCGGGCGGCCTCGACACCGTCACGACCCAGGTGGCCTGGTTCGTGGCCCTGCTGTCGCAGCACCCTGAGATCCAGGACAAGGCCGTGTCGGAGATCGCCCGCTTCCACGACCAGCAGAGCCCCATGTGCGACGAGAAGGACGACCAGCGCTGCGCCTACGTCGTCGCCCTGGTCAAGGAGTCGCTGCGCTACTTTACCGTCCTGCGCCTGGCGCTGCCTCGCGCGTCCACCAAGGCCGTCGCCTACGGCGGGTGCACCATCCCCAAGGGGTCCATCGTCTTTCTCAACGCCTGGGCCTGCAACATGGGTAAGTCGAGAGATGCCGGAACGCCGCCGCCGCCGCCTTGAAGACGACGCACCCGCTGACCGCCCGCAGACCGCAACGTGTGGCGCGACCCCGACGTGTTCCGCCCGGAGCGCTGGCTCGAGCAGCCCGACGCGCCTCTCTTCACCTACGGCGTCGGCTACCGCATGTGCGCCGGCTCGCTGCTGGCGAACCGCGAGCTGTACCTCGTCTACATGCGGCTGCTCAACAGCTTCCGCATCGAGAAGCACGACGCCGTCGACTGCCACCCCGTCACCGGCAACTCGGACCCGACGAGCCTCGTGGCCCTGCCCCGGCGCTACCGAGCGAGGTTTGTCCCGCGCGACCCCGCGGCCCTGCGGAGGGCCCTGCAAGACACGAGGGCCATGGACGGCCTCGACTGACGTCGTCTCGCGGAGCTGCAGGCAGACTTGGATGAGGGAATACGTGGAATGAGTATACAGGTACCAAGCGAGTGACTTGTAACTGTCTGATGAAGCCAGGCGGTTTCTGCTACGTGGAATGGGTGTACAGGCACCAAGTGAGTGACTTGTAATTGTCTGATGAAGCCAGGCGGTTTCTGTTACGTGGAATGGGTGTACAGGCAGCAAGTGAGTGACTTGTAACTATCTGACGAAGCTACTAGGCAGTTTCTGGACGAGTGAATACACGGCATGGGCGCACGGCTGGATGGGTGAATACATGGAATAGGTGTACAGCAGCACTTGGCGAGTAACTGAGTGAATACATGGAATATGTGCAGAGCGGTGACCAAGCAAGTGACTTGTGACGATCTGATAAAGCTACTAGGTAGTCTCTAAACAAATAAATACATGGAATACGTGCATCGCAGTAATAAGTGAGCAACTGAGTGAATACATGGAATACGTGCACAGCGGTACTAAGCAACCGACTTGTGAAAAAGCTGCTAGGCAGTCTAAAGAAGTCAATACATGGAACACGTATACAGCAGTACCAAATGAGTGACTGAGTGAATACACGGAATACGTGCACAGCAGTACCAAGCGAGTGCCTGACCGTCCCGTGAATACCCTGCCCATGGGACATTTCACATGCATATCCCGACGCGGCAGCATGCATCTGAAACAAGCCAACGCGGACAGTACCACCGTGCGCTGCTTGGCGGCGTGGCCACGTCAACGGCAGCGGTGCTCGCACTAAGCAGTTGCGTCATGGTGAAGTCGTGAGTCGTGACGAAGGCCGACGACGTCGCATCGAGTTCGGACTGCCAACTGCGGCAACGGTTGCCATCGGCGGGACGCGGGACCGCGGAATGCCGAGTTCCGCACGTGGTGCCGCAACAAAAAGCACCTCGTGTCGGTCGACGAAGATCGAGCCGTTTCCCAGACCAGGCCAACCCTGCGCCCTCCAGCGACGGACTAAACTAGCACGGAGCATCCAAAGGCAAAGAGAAAGAGCCTCGGCAGTGGCTTGCTCGCGTGGAAATGCCTCAGACAACAGGGCCCAGGCGCGACCGGATCCGCGCCGTCATCCCCGACGTCTACCTGGGCCGATGGCCCCCGGGACGGCTCAACTCCATGACGGACGTCCCCGGGGTGCTCGTGCACACGCAGTCCATCGAGCCGGATTCCCAGGTCCACACGGGCGTCACGACCATCCTGCCGCGACGCGACTGGTACCAGCACTCGAGCTTCGCCGGCGTGTTCCGCTTCAACGGGTGCGGCGAGATGACGGGCTCCCACTGGCTGAGCGAGACGGGCCTGCTCAGCTCCCCCGTCGTCATCACCGCCACGTCGTCCGTCGGCGAGGGCTATCGCGGAGTGACGGCGTACGCGTACCGCCGGCACCGGGAGCGCGGGAGCGACGTGGACCTCTTCGTGCTGCCCGTCGTGGCGGAGACGTACGACGGCTTCCTGAGCGACCCGGCGCGGTTCGCCGTCACGCCTGAGCACGTCATCGAGGGCATCGAGGGCGCCACGTCGGACGCCGTGCGCGAGGGCAACACGGGCGGCGGCACCGGCATGATCTGCCACCGCTTCAAGGGCGGCACCGGGTCCAGCAGCCGCCTCGTCCGCGGCTACGGCACCGACGGGCAACCCGTCGACTACACCGTCGGCGTCCTCGTCCAGGCCAACTACGGCGTCTCCGAGACGCTCCGCATCGGCGGCGTCCCCGTCGGCCGCATCCTCCAGCAGGAAGGCAAGCTGCCCGCCGGGCCGGGCCGGGAGGCCGGCGCCGCGGAGCCGCGCAAGGACGGCAGCATCATCATCGTCGTCGCCACCGACGCGCCCCTGATCCCCATCCAGCTCCAGCGGCTTGCTGCCCGTGCAACGGTCGGCCTGGCCAAGGTCGGCGGCTACGGCAGCAACAACTCGGGGGACATCTTCCTCGCCTTCTCCACCGCCAACAAGGTCCCCTTTGCGGACGCCTCGATGGAGTCGCCGGCGGCGGGCGCCGGCGTCGCGGTCGACGGCGGCTACGCCCCCGCCGCGCGCGTCGTCACCATGTCGGACAATGACACCATCAACGGGCTGTTCGAGGCTGCCGCAGACGCCACCGAGGAGGCCATCTACAACGCCATGTTCATGGCCGAGTCGATGACCGGGTACAAGGGCAGGCACGTACCGGCCCTGGATCTGGACGAGGTCAAGAGAATCGTAGAGTCGAGGCTGTGACGCGACGCAACACGCACATGCCGGGAGACGGGGGTTGTAACTTGGTTTCCGCAGCCGTCACGGCGACTTGGAGCTTGACGTTTGGAAGAGGGGGGGGACTTATGGTGTCCCGTGCAACGGCTGCCTCTGCAGACAGATGTGAATCAAGACTCGAGTCATGACCCGGCCATTACTCCCAGCTCCCAGCGTAGTAGAAATAACTGTCGTCGTGTCAGGCTGAGCAGTGACGAATCGGATCCGAGCTTCTCGTGTCGCGGGGCTCAAAGGTGCCGCAAAGTTGGAATACTGCCATCCGTCAAAGTCTTGCATTGCCCCGATGCCTGAGTCGTAAACGGCCATCGGCCGCTGCGGAATCTGGCTGTTGTCTTGTCCATGGTGAACCGAAAGCCTGTCGAGAATGCCAAGAACGCCACGCGCAACAATCGCGACCAATGCCTTGGGTTCAGGTCTGGCGTGTCTCCGGATGCAGCAAAAAGCCACAACTTCCACAAGTTGACAGCCTCTTTGACAGAAGCAGAACCGCCCAGCGCGACAACCACAGTTCGTAGACGCGAGCTGTGACGGGGTCGCGCAACGCCATCCGCAGCTATTGAGTTGTCTGGATCAAAACTCTGTTTGGGCGGCAACAAAGCTCGTCGCCAAACGTTCCAGGATAAATCGAGACCTTGTTTCTCCCGCTCGTGTCTTGCTCCGGAATCGTTGGAAGCAACATGTGGCGAGCAGCGTATCTTGCGGCAGGCCTGGCGAGCCGGGCGTCACGACAGGTCCCGGCGACTCGGGCAACGCATGACGACGCTCTGCCGCCTCTCAAGTTCGACGACGAGGGCGTTTTCAGAATCTCCGTCTTCTCCGACCTGCATTTTGGTCAGGGTAAGGGCCGACAGACAGCAACGGTGGTCGTGGTGGTGATGCTAACGAGGCCGTGTGGCAGGCGAGTCCGGCACCGGGCCGGACCAAGACCGCAACACGATCCGGGCCATGGAGGATGTCCTGGACTTGGATGGCCCCCAGCTTGTCGTCCTGAACGGGGACTTGATCGACGGCGAGAGCGCCCGCAGTCGCAACGGCACGCACTACGTTGATCAACTCGTCGGCCCCATGGTGCGGCGAAACCTCACGTGGGCGTCGACGTACGGGAATCACGACCACAGCCACGACGCGGACAGCGACGACATTTGGAAGCAGGAAAAGCGGTGGCCGGGCGCGCGGACGCAGAGGATGGTCACGGCCCAGGGTGCAGGAATCACAAACTACTACCTCGTCGTGAACCCGCCGACGTGTGCTGGAGACGGAGACGGAGGCGGAGGCGGCTGCGTCCCCGAGCTCGTTCTCTGGTTCTTCGACAGCCGCGGCGGCTTTCACTTCCAAGGGGCCGCGCAGGGGAACTGGGTGCACGCGAGCGTCGTCGCCTGGGCCAACGAGACCAACGCATCGTTGGCGAGACGGTACAAGAGGGCCATCCCGTCGCTGGCCTTTGTCCACATCCCCGTCCACGCCACCGAGGGTGCCGCGCCCGAGCCTCACCACCAGCCGGGCATCAACGACGAGCTTCCCGTTGCCCAGCAAGGCGAGGGCTGGTGCGGCAACGACACGCCGGACGAGGAGGGGTGCGACTACGGCGGACAAGACGTGCCCTTCATGCGAGCCCTGGTCGGCATGCCGGGCCTGATGGGGCTCTTCTACGGCCACGACCACGGCAAGTCCTGGTGCTACAGGTGGGATTCCCTCTTGCCGGGCATGGACGTCGCCGGCAGCGGCCTCAACCTGTGCTACGGCCAGCATTCTGGGTACGGAGGCTACGGCGACTGGATCCGGGGCGCCCGGCAGATCGTCGTGACGCGGGACAAGCTGGCAGACTTGACCGTCGACACGTACATCCGCCTCGAGTCCGGAGCCGTGGTCGGTGCCGTCTCGCTGAACTCGACCTTTAACCACGACTACTATCCCGCCACGCCGGACCAGCGTACGTACGTGGATCAGACTGTCAACGGCAAGGTGCGAGTCTATCCCTCTGCGTCGTCGAGACTGAGACCTGGCCGTGAGCTGGGGTATTGCAAATACGCCGTTGCCGCTTGCGTCGGGCTATGGGCCGTTTTGAGTCGCGTACTCTGAGGGACGCACCATTGAGTTTGGGCAATTCGAGCAGAGGAATGGGCGCATTGTCGATGCGCTGCAGGTGGCATTGGGCTAATATTGTGGTGTTTGGTGCTCACGGTTGTGACGACTACGTCTACTCACGCGCCGCCCTCGCGCTACACCCGGTGACGTGCTGATACGTGCAGTGTAGCCTTGGCGAGGTAGATTTAACGTTTTGGTGACTACAACAGCAATGACGGCACGAGACGCTTGCGACAAATCCCCCCATTTCATGGTGGTACAAATAGTAGGAGGATGCTTGTTGCACACGGTAAAAGCACGAGGGGTGAAATATTTCTGGCACTATATATACTGCTCATATACTCGAAGCAAGTAGACCTTAGCCCGTCATGATAGATACTTACTTACTCACGCATGGTAAAAATGCAGAGGTCGTCGCCAGCAAGTTGGGCCGACTTGCCCGCTGTGACGGCCAAGGGACAGCAACGAACTGCACAAGCGTTGGCCAATGTGCAAGGACTTTGCCGGCATCCTAGTCAAAGCTCAGGGCGTGTGAATTTCATAAAAAACTCCTGGATAATCGCACTGGCTTCTATGTGCGTCGGCTTGTCGCCAGCAGCTAGCTGTGAAAAGTTGGGCTCCGTGGATGGCCAGTCATGCCCTGCCAGCCCATTCAGTCAGCACGCTTTGCAAGGCGCCGAGTCGCGCGAACAAAGGTAAGATGAGGAGTCGTACTTTGGTCATCGGTCTTGTAGTGCTGCACCGCTCCCGCCTGTCCCCGGCACGTCCAGCTTAGATGATGGACGTCGCCGGCAAACAGGTCCTCTTGACGATGGGGCGTGTCGCATTCGTTCCGGGCTGCCCACCAGCCCAACCTTGACGGTTTGCCACCATGAATCAGCACTCGAGATGGCCTTGATCTGTGCGAGTTGACGGACGTACCAGCTCGGGATTGCGGGCTCAGTGCCGCCTTCGCCTTGGCCGCCGCCGTACTTGACATCGGCGTCGGCTCCTCCGTGAAACTCCAGGATCGGCATGGGCACGCGCGCGGGCTGGCAGAGGTGATGATTGTCCTCGTTGTCCGTGTAAAAGGACCCCGAGGCCGGGGCCATGGCGGCAAACTCGCCGCCGACGGAGCTGTTGCAGGCAATGGTGTCGACGAAGCCGCCGCCAATGGACAGCCCGGTGGCGTAAATCCTGGCACTGTCGATGCAAAAGTTCCGGCGCAGGTCGGCGAGGAGATCCCACACGAACTGCAAGTCCTGGGCGACGGTGGCCTTGGAGTAGTTGGCTCCCGCCCAGGCGCCGCCCAGTCCATTGGGGTAGACCATGACCTTGTCGCGGGTGAAGCGCGCCTCGTCTAGCTTCGTGTCGACTTCAAAGAACAGCCCGACGCTGCCTGAGCCGTGGAAGCCCAAAATGGCAGGATATCTGCGGCCCTTGTCGTAGTCGGACGGGAGATGCACGCTGTAGCTGCGACGCAAGCCACTCGACTTGATGTCGCGATAGATGGGAAGGCCTATGGCCTGGCCGACGTGCGTCTTTCCGCAGCCCGACGTGTCGCCTCCGGAATAGGAGCTGGTCGTGTCCGGGGGGACCGCGCAGGGCGTGGCGACGAGACTGAGGAGCAGCGTGCCGAAGACCGAGGTCACGAGGCTGACCATGACGACAGGACGCGATGGTGGCACTGGAATCCCTTGCTGTCCCACGAGTGCGCGGGTGCAAAGTCGACCGCCTGCGGGCAGCGGCCACGGAGCTCATTAAATTGTTGCTTGTACGGCCGACGCTGCAATCGTCCTCGTGCTCCCAAGCACCAGGTGCCTTGGTCTTGCGCCGGTGCCGTGTGCAGTCATCATTCTTCAACCCATCGACATACAGTGCGAGACATTACACACACACGCCAGCTACGGCCAATGCGAGGCTGGCTGGTCCAATCGGAAACCTCCGGCCCGTACCCGCCCCCACAGCCCTAACCCCGCCGTTCCCAAGTCTGTGGTGTGGTGGCGTCGCGGGGCCAGCGACTTTGGGCGTCAAACTGCGCAAATAATCTCTCTCTCACAGAACGCGCGCAGCAAGCTGTGGCCCGGCGGACAAGATGAAGAGAAAAGTGTCCGTTTCAGAAATACTAAACCACTCCGGTCCCGACAGTGCGTGGCTCGTGGTTGACGGCAACGTCTATGACATGACGGACTTTGCGTCGTCCCATCCCGGAGGCCCCGACGGTGAGTGCCGTGACGAGACCGACTCGTCTGCCCTGCCCGGTCCCTTGGAACCTCCAAAGCCGTCTTTGCAGATGCCAAAGACTGACGTGTTGTGTTGCGTGAGCCCAGTCATCCACCAATACTCGGGACGCGATGCCTCGCTGCCCTACAATCAAGTCCACGCACCGTCACTCATCAAGTCGTCCCTCGATGAGAGACTGCACATAGGCACCCTCGACACGGCCACCATCACGGAAGCATGGACGGCGGCAAACACCCCGGACCCTCGGGCACTCGCTCAGCAGGCGGAAGCGGCCCCTTTAAAGCCCCCGCTGGAAGCCCTCATCAGCATGTCCGACTTTGAAAAGGCCGCTCGCCAGTCCTTCACCCGCAAGGCATGGGCATACATCAACGGCGCCTCCAACGACAACATCACCCGTGACATGAACCGCGACGCCCTCAACAAGATTTGGTTCCGGTCCGCCGTCATGAGGAACGTCAGCGGCGTGACCACCAAGACAAGGCTGTTCGGCTGCGACCTCGACGCGCCCCTGTACGTGTCTCCCACGGGCGCGGTGCGGACCGCAGGCCAGGAGGGAGAATTAGCCCTGGCTCGGGCCGCGGGCCCGTCCGGCATCGTCCATTGCATCTCGACGCCCGCGTCCTACCCGCACGACGAGATCCTGCGGGCCACGCCCGAGCACGCCTTCTTCCAGCTCTACGTCGACAAGGATCGCGCCAAGTCGGCACGGCTGCTGCGTCAAATGAGTAGAAACGCCAAGGTCAAGGCCATCTTCGTCACGGTCGACCTGCCCGTAGTCTCGAAGAGAGAAGACGACGAGCGCCTCAGGGCCGAGAGCGCGGCCGAGAAGCAGGTTTCGCCCGGGAGGGATCAGAAAGGCGCGGGCCTGGCTCGGCTGTCGGGCTCCTTTATCGATCCCGCCCTGACGTGGGACGACATCCCGTGGATCCGGAAGCACACCCATCTCCCCGTCGTGGTCAAGGGCATCCAGAGGTGGGAGGACGCCCAGACGGCGCTGACTCTGGGCTGCGAGGGCATCGTGGTGAGCAACCACGGCGGGAGAGCGGCCGACACGGCGCAGCCATCCATCATCACCCTGCTCGAGCTGCGCAGCAACTGTCCCCAAGTCTTTGGCTCCATGGAGGTTCTAGTGGACGGCGGGTTCCGGAGGGGCTCCGACGTGGTCAAGGCCATTTGCCTGGGGGCGTCGGCCGTCGGAATGGGCCGGCCGTTCTTGTATGCCGTCAACTACGGCACCGCCGGCGTCGCGCACGCCGTCGCATGTAAGCGCGCGCCACCAGCCACCTCTCCGTGACCAGATGCCGTCCCTGGCAGCGTGTTTGATACTAACTGGTTCACTCCAGTGTTGCGGGACGAGATCGAGACCGCCATGCGTCTCTGCGGCATGACCAGTCTGATGGACGATGCTGGCCCCGACTTCCTCAACACCGGTGCAGTTGACCATCTTGTGCATCGCCGTCCGCACGCGTCCCTCGGACGGACCCCCAGGCCGAGGCGGGCACGCTTGTAAATTGACAGACCTGTGCAGAATCGTACATTATTCCATTCTCCCATACCATGTTGCCCAAGAACCCGGCCGACCCGTTCAAGGGTAGAAACAGCTGCAGCGGCCAAGACTACCATCCCAACAGACACACGTCGACGCTCGCTCAAGATCCAAGTGGAAGCGCGGCGAATATCCTACACTGCTGCCACGGCGCCGGCTAGGGCCCGCAAACCCACGGCGTGTCTGTCCATGTCCAGACTTGCGGCCCATGGCGAATTCAATGGCCAACACCGTCCTTGCACGTCCGATGGAAGGCGTCCTGCCCGCGCTCGTTCTGCACCTCCCACACCGTTGTGTTTTCGGATCCCCCCAGCCGGTGACAGTCATCAGCGCGTGGAGTGGCCTCGGCGTGTCGGAAATCCAGCGACGCCAACGAGCAGACGAGCACACAGGACAGCTGGGAGGCCACGGCATGTGTTGCCGGACGCAGCACAGTCGCGGGTAGACTCTGGCACGCCTGGGGACTTTCTCTCAGACTGGACATGCATGGGCTGACTCGTCACTCGGCTGGAGGCACGAAGGGGCAGGCTATCAGGACTACAAGGGTTTCGGAATCACTGAAGACGGACCGTAGGTTGGCGAGTAGTGCTCGAGTCATCTGCATTCTCTGACGACCTGGCCCATCCACGGGACAGGACCATCTTGGAGAGGACGTCCACCTTCCTTGGGTCGAGGGAGACGCCGTTCTCTGGGCCTCTGGGCCCCAGAATACAAGCTCCTTACGTTGCTCTGACACTTCCTCTGCTGTCTCTGGGGTCGAGTTGCCAATGCCGAGGACAGCTGTATCGTCCGAGTACTCGAGTAGCCGGCAGAAAAGGCGGCAAGGCCGAGGAGGGAGAGTGGGCGACAGGGCACATACAGTGGACCACGGGCACGCGCCGGTCACTTTCTAGTCTGCCGAGGCCGAGCAAGGAGGCCATCTCATCTGTTCGACGCGGGAGACATTTGCGGACTCTGCCGGTCCATCTCCCTCGAGCCATATCTCGTGGCCGTTGCCGTCCTTGACCAGCAGGCTCGCCAAACACGCACCAACCGCTACACAGGCCAGCATCCAAAACGCCAAGCTGACATGTCCTATAGTCAGTCCGAAGCCATACGCAACCCCTCCAAGTATAGGCCCGACGGTGCGAGCAAGGCTGCTCACGCTGTGCCCTTTCCTGTGCACCGTTGCCAAAACGCCAGTGTGAGGCGAGCAGTTGTTGGTCAGGATAAATGATCGAAGTTACAAGCAATTATCACAGTGGAGTGAGTCTTTAGGCGGGTTCTTTGCTGCCTTTGTTGTAGGGATCTTGTGCTATTTCTCATGTCTGGAGGTATGAAGTTTTTTTTTTTTTTTTTTTGGATGATTGTTGCGTTGACAAGAAAACAGGAAATCTGACCCCTTTCTATACCTCTGCAGCCCCGTCAAGCCCTAAATTAGCCTAATTTTAAGCCGTAACAAAGCAACTATCTGACTAACAGCCTCTGAATATCACCTGTTTCACCCAACAATAAAGCCGCTAGGCAGCACAAACGTCGACGCCAGGACGTGTACAGACAGCACTGCGCATATAAACAGCCAAATTCCAAGGCCGCTTTTCCCCCTCTGGCGGTTCGGACTCGCTCGGGACTACAGATAGATAAGGCACAACAAAGTAGGCCACGGGGAACAAGGGCAGAAAAACGCGCCAGGACAAGAGAGTCCCTACACGAGCAGCCACGGGCAGGTAGAGCAGTACCTGTAGAGTAATGCCATTGATGCCGAGAATTGCCATGGCCAGACCAACGCTTTGGGGTGCAGCCCGACGCCGCCTGTGAATTGAAAGGGCAACTGCGTCCTGTGCTTGGATGTCCTGGGATCACATACCGGTATTGGTAGGAAGACGAACCAGAGAGAGTTGAAGGTGCCTGCGTGGAATGTCAAGAAGAATTGCGCAAGCATGGTCAAGGAAAGATTGCGAGTGCATATACGCCCAAACGACAAAACCTGCGTATTGCGACTGGTGTTGGACGACGTAGGGGACGGCTGCACCGTACCGTAGCCCATTGATACGCCGGCTTCTGTCGATAGAGGCACATAACCTGTCCGCCCCCCCCGTTGCGCTGGAAAAGTTTACGATGCCGCCTCGCCAGCTTGTAGCCTACGCAAAGGCCGAAACCGGGAGGTGCTCCTCGTAGCGAGTCGAGGGTCTCTTCGAGTCCGAGCCATACGGCCGCTGCGGCGGGGAGGAGAAGCAATGCGCTCGCAATGTTGGGGGCCGCATCGGAGTATCTGAGGAAGAAGGAGACGGAACCAAGAGTATCAGGATGGCTGGTTGCCGGATCAGAGAGCATGCCGCCGAGGATAGGTCCGACGATGGCCCCGAGACTTGATGCCATGGGGAGGAGAAGAAATACGCGAGCTTGGCAATTCTTTCCAGGGAGCAGCGTGTTAAAGTAGCAGAAGACATGGTTTCAATAGTTGTCAATTCCTAAGCCCACAACGCTTAGGTTGGGGGCATCTATCTAGCGCCCCTAGTCCAGCTCTCAAGTTGCTTTCGTTCGGTGCACTTGGGTACTTTATCTCGGAAGCAGGTAATCTTGTGCTAGAATCGAGTGTCGGTACAGTTGCATCGAGGACAGGGGTCTGCCACTTACAGGTGTTCCAAGCATTCTTTTCAATGATCTATTCGATATCTCGTTTCGACACGAAGTAAACTAGAGTGGCAGGTTGCGTGAGCTTGTACCGTCCTCGCGCTACGATTGCGACGGAACCGTCCGACCTACCCATGAAAGCAAGCGGTCTACGGGATAGCAAGTCTTTTCTCCTTGGCACTCGGAGTCCCAGCCAGGCTCGTAAACGTCGCAATACGAGGCGTTTGCGTATTCCTAGAACACGAATTAGCATGGCGGTAACGGAGGTGCTCCGGATGAGTCGTCACTTGCTATCGAGGGTTCGCATGACATCTTTGTGCTGTTTAACAGTACCATCTGCAGATAAAAGGTCCATGCATGCTGTCGACGGGTTAATAGTCACGCCAGACAGACGGCCTTGGGCGAGCGTGACGCGGCCATGGATACTTGCCCTTTCAGAAGACATTCCAGATTTCCTGATGTCCAGAGATTCCAGTTCGAGGATCGTACAGAGGATGATGCCTTCGTTTGTTCTTCGCTTCATGCCGCCTCTACCATCCGGCGTGGGCCCAGTGCAATTGTTGCGTTGTAGCTTCTTGCATTCCGTCGGTTCAAAGTCGGGTTGGACGTCGCAAAAGTTGTCCAGTCCAAATGTCATCTGATTTAGGCCCGATTCTTGGGCTGCCTTGGCTGCCACCACGCTACAGGCAAAGGCAGCGAGCAGAATGCCTAGGTACTTCATCTTTATGAGTGGAAGGAATGACAGTTTAGCTTGTACGCGACAGAAAAGTGTCCGAGGGCAAATGCAAGACGTGTGGATAGATGGATGTATGAGGACGGCCGAGGGGCCCAGAGAGCTGCAGAGTGCTCGTATTGATACAAACGCCGGTACGTGTTGCGGCGATGCAGTCTCAAGGCCACGTTCCTTTCAAAGGCAGCTCCGCCCACAGCAAGGACATGATTTAACTTTTTGGCGACGTCTCATGTACAGACGGTTTGATGTTGGGATACGGACCCCCGCCTTCCCGGCATGTGACTGGAGGCGTGGTGTCGACTCGACGGCTCCCAGGTGATGGAATGATATCAAGGGCGTCTGTCCATGCTAGAAAACGTCTCACTGGACAAGGCAGAGCATGTGTGTTCCCAGCCGGAGCTCTCGCCGTGCAGGAAACAGCCTTGGACTCGCCGCGCCTTGAATCAGCCAGCCCCCTGTCCTGGCCAGCGGTTTCCAATTAGTTGCATGACGACTCGAGACGACCTGACGTGCTTTTTCCTCTCGGGCTCGCCAGTCCAGCGCGTATCCAGCTGAAATTAATCACCGCGACACAAGGAATACCCTGGGCGCGACGTCGACGACGAGTCGGCGAGTCGGCGGCTCCCGCAACTTCGACACGTCGGCTACCTGTCCGCGGTGAAAAGCTGCACCCTGAATGAGCCCCTGCCAGGACGTCCGAGCCAGTCATTCGTCGTCTGTTCTCTTTGCGCCATCGATTTTCCACGGACTGTGGACGAGCCAGACGGCCACACGAGGCCATTCACGACAAACCCAACAACCGCGGCCACGTCTGAAACCTGAGGCGTTGCGAGATCCGCCCACAGGAAATAACTACCAGCGTTTCAGATACAAACGCCGACCTGGCCTAAGCGGACAGGACGACCCAAGGATGCTTGGGTCTCGACCGCCTCTGCCCGTTTCGCATAGAGTCACCCGTTCCACTGATTATCTCGACGAGCAGCCAACGTACCATGACGACAGCAACGCATTGCGTTCATTCGTATCACGTGTACACTGGCGCGCGCCTTTTCTTCTGTTTACTCTCCCGTAACCACTTGACTCGTTTGCTGTTCGGGCAGATTGACAACCCTCCAGCCATGATGTGATGTGGAAAGTGAAAAGCCTCGGCACTCTGTCTGGCCTGCTGATACTTTGGGATGCTTGATACTTCATCCCTAATCTTGATTTATGGCTTTACATTAAAGACTGTGTCTACCTGACCTCTGCCAAGTATATACAAATTTGAGCCAGGCCTTGTGGGGCAACCGCTCCAGCTTAAAGTTGCCTAGCTGTTAGTCACAGTCTGTTCTATCGATCCCGATCAAATCAACCCATATCCTGCGAGCCCTGAACCATGCATCTGCCAGAGCTCATGTGGTGTGTAGCGTAGGATCATTTGTCCTTCAGGCGGCACACACGGTCCAACTCGGGCACTACGGACGACTGTCTGCCTGGTAGGCTGAAAGGGTGGCCTCGTGCTTCTCGATTGCGCCCTTGCTGAGCCGGCAGAGCTCGGCTACCAGCTTGTCCATCTTGGTCAGGTACTCGGTCTCGTGGGGGGTGACTCTGCGGATGGGCATGCTCCGGATGATCTGGGACGTCGTGCCGAGGAGCTCCATGTCGTGGACGGCAAGCCCGTGCCCGGGGTTTTGCAGGATGTTGAAGAAGAGATTCATCAGCGCCGACAGCGGGTAGAAGATGAAGAACCTGCCGGCGTGTTAGAGAGGCTTCGTTCTCGACGGGCCCACGGTCGAGTCTTGCTCCGCACCGCAAGCCTGCCATGCAGACACAGACACGACGCGTAGGTGGCATCAGGACCTACCAGAATGCTTCCCCGGCGAGCCTGTTCGCCGACAAGCTCAGGTACACTATGGTCGACCTGCTGGCCTCCACCGACAGGTCGAAGCTGGACTGCACGCCGAATGACATCTGTTGCGGGTCGCTGCTCCCTCTCGTCATGCAGCGGCCGCTTGCGCAGTGGATCGTGTTGAGCAAGTAGTGGTAGTCGAGGTGCAGCGCGGCGACAATCATGTTTCTCGACATGTCTAGGGCCCCCACGAGTCCGCTGTCCTTTTTGACCGAGAGATTGGGCGAGAACTCGGGCGGGATCGAGGTGCGCCACGTCTCGAGCTCCTCGTCGAGCTCCCTTATCGTCTTGAGCAGCTCGGCGTCCGACTTTTGCAGCGACGCGTTGGAATAGAGCAGCTGCACCGCCTTGGACTTGAGGATGCTCAGCCTCAAATCGCTGGGAAGCCACGGCCTCTGGAGCTGTCCCTGTTGTCGCGGGAGGAAGCGGCTGAAGGCGTATCCCTCGGGCAGTGTGAGATCACAGAACTGATCGGCGATGACGGGCGGTTGCCCGGTCCGCAGCGAAATGTCCTTGTCGAGCACGTAGCAAAGCCAAAAGAGCATGCGGAGGTGACGGTCCTCGTGTTCCTCAAACGTGAGGTGGCCATCCTGGGGCGTCGACGCAATGACGGTGTGCCCACCGAGCGCGAAGACGGTTCTGCAGGCGAGTGCGTGGTACATGGAGGACGCTTGTAGGCGGCCGCAAAGCGTCTCGTGGAGCAGCTATCTCATCGTCAGTGTGTTTTCTGCTCGCGTGCCACGGGCCGCGGTCGGCGGCTGAGGAGCACGGGCGGCATGTTACATACCAGCATCAGGCTTGTCTGCAGTGTAGTGATGCTCGCGTCCTCTATGATGTCGGACAGGAAGACTTGTGCGTCTCGGGCACACGAGTCGACGTCAACTTGTGATGCCCCGTGAGCAGTTGGACAGTGAGAGCCGGCCAAGGATACAAAGGCTAGCACACACGCTTTTGCGGCAATATGCTCCAGCGTGGGCAGTTCTGTGCCATGTTTACTGTACGCCAGTCGCACCGTCTCTTCAAAGAGAACTCGGTTGATGAGAGGAAAGAATAGACTGAAGCCGGATTTCGTAAATCCAGACACAAGACCATCCAGGATCCATCTTTCAGGAAGCCCAGGCTGCTTGGCGTCCGTCTTGGCTGAATCAAGGGCAGCGATGGCATCAGTCTCGGACAAATCGGACCGGGTTGTACCGTCGGAATAGAGATGGCGAAATCTGGGCTCCTGTCCGGTTCTCTCACGTATCCACTGCTCACAATGCGAGGTAAGATGGGGGATGCCATTTCGAGGGCAAACGGCGCCAAGCTTTTGACCTCCAAAGTAAATGTTCCCAATGGGAGCACCGCCGAGACGTCGTTGGGGATCGGTAGACGTAGACTCGGCGCGACAGAGAGGGCAGGCCGGATATGCCTGGAACTGAGACAACGGCCGGGCGGCGGTTGCAAAGTGCGACTCGGAGGGAGACGACGACGACTGATGCTCCGAAGACTGAAAGCTATCGGAAAGGACCTGGCGATGAGACGAGTCGTCGGGCTTGGGACTCTGCCGTCCTTCGGGGACACGTCGATTCCTGGCAACGGTTTGAGCAGCTGCGGGCGTGGCTCACAGCGATGTGCGGCGAAGACGGTCGAGACATTGGCGCACAGTACTGGGATATGCTCTTACAGTTTTCTCCTCCGACCGCGGACCCGGTCGAATGTGCAAGCAAGGCTGTGGTGCAAACACCAGTCGCATTGGCTCCCGGCCTCCGACACATCACATTGTATCTGCCGACACCAGCACCAACAGCAGCGTGTTATGTTAGCTTGACTGGCCAGAAGAAGCAACAGAAGTGCAGGAACTGGACGGCATCGAGGCAAGTATGCGGCATGGAGCCACAGCAATGCTACCTCTTGATGGCAACGTGAGGTGATGCGCAGCATAGGACGTCTCCCACCTTTCGTTTATGGCACGAGTCACAAGCAGGCCGTCTTTTGTTCGCCATGGCTGCCATGCCTCGGGACACGACCAGCAGGCCAACCGGTCCTATGGAACGCACAGCAAGCGACAGGAGAGCTCCCGTCTTGCTAGGTTTCAGAGAAAGCAGACCGACAACTCTGCCCCAGCGGCACAATAAAGAAGGTTGTCATCGGACGGGCCACGCGATGCCGCTTACATATCGCTCACTTTATCCGCCACCTAGGGACTCGGAAGACGAGTCGAGATTAGCAGGCGTCCATTGATCCCAGCGCCGCAGCAACTGCCCCCCCCTCCACCAGGCTAAATCTGACGGATCTGACTCACCTGCTCGGGAAAAGCTGACGACGAGGTTTGGATCTGGGCGAGTGGACGCCCGGCGACGAAATGCGCTGCCTCAGACGCCGAATGGGCCGGGCGCCGAGTTGGGGGTCGAAGGATGACCGAGCTCAGGGCTGAACACGAGATGCCGCTGATTAAGCGGCAACGCGCTTGCTCTGCACGACGCCCATTGGCCAGCCGTTAACGAGCTAATATAGACTAACTTGTTGCGGGAGAGTCGGTCATCTTGTATCCCCACAGCCCGGACTCTGGACGCTTGACTCTGCTCCTTGCACAACGACAACGGATGGGCTAGTTTTTGCAGCCACAGACGGACAGATCCATCCCGTCATCCAAGTTCCAACGACACGCCATTAGCCCGCATGCACAAACGTCGAGGAACCGGAGGCGGTCGGCGTGTGAAAACCTCCACGTTTTTAATGCAACGGCCCGGGCTTCAACTTGCCCGGTAGCACCGCACCTAGGCCGTCACGCCCGCCAGACCGCTTTCGGGAATCTACCAGGCAAGTCATGGGCAACATTTCCGGCTGGAGATGCAACACAAAATTGTCGATGAGGCTGTTCGGGCCCGGGAATGGGAATCCGAGAGCATTCAGGCCAGGCCCCCAGCTGGCCGTGACCACTGACAGAGTTCCTAGTCCACGGCCGTGAAGCAGCCACGGTCGTCATCCCATGTTTCATGTTTCAGGTCCAAACCAGTAACTAACTAGTAATTCTTCTTCCCGGGATGCGCAGAAGGAGACGACGTGACTAAGCGGCGACTCTGGACCAAGCTCCCCCGGGTTTTCCGAAGCCAATACGTGACTGAACAATAGTCCCACTCACTCCGAAGGGTTTATCAGCCCCCAAGCCCCGACGAGGCAACGTTTCGACGCTACATCTTGATCCAGGACGTCATATGTTGTACTTGCTTTGTCCCTATCGGGGGCTGTGTCCATGTGCGGCAGGAAAGGGAAAAAAATTGCGAATCTCGGACCAATCTGAATTACCGAGCCGAGGGCTTATGCCTGGAGCCTGTAAGAGATACAAATACAGCATGATGAAGCCTTTGCAACCCTGTTCCTTTGAGGTGCCTCGTAATCTTCGTCTCGAACGTTATTCTTTTTTTTTTTTTTCGTCAGGCGCGTGCCTGTGTGGTGTCTCACGCCTCTGTTCTAGTCTGACAACCACCAACATAACCACCATGTCCAGTGATGAGACAAAGACTCTCAGCAACGATGGCTCTGTCACGGGAGACGATGAGGTCCCTCTAACAACCAAGGAATGGGCCATGAAGCCAGACGTTGTCAAGTTTCATGACAGAGACCAGGCCTCGGGCTTCCCGCGCCGCAAACTCGGCGTCACCTGGACCGATTTGACCGTCAAGGCCCGAAGTGCGGAATCCGCGATACACGAAAACGTGACATCACAATTCAACATTCCCAGAATCATCAAGGAGTCGAGACACGAGACGCCCCTTAAAACTATACTGGATGCTTCACATGGTTGTGTCAAGCCGGGCGAGATGCTGCTCGTGCTTGGCCGCCCGGGATCCGGATGCACTACGCTGCTGAACCTGCTGACGAACAAAAGACTCGGCTACGAGCACATCTCTGGCGAGGTCTTTTACGGATCCATGAAGGCAAGCGAGGCACACAAGTACAGAGGCCAAATCGTCATGAACACGGAAGAGGAGGTCTTCTTCCCTACGCTCACCGTCGGTCAAACCATGGACTTTGCAACCCGCCTCAAGACACCATTTCACCTGCCCAAGGGGGTCAGCAACAAGGAGGAGTATCGCCTAGAGGCCAAGAATTTCCTGCTGAAGTCGATGGGCATCGAGCACACATTCGACACAAAGGTCGGCGATGCCTTCGTGCGCGGCGTCTCCGGCGGCGAGCGAAAGCGCGTTTCCATCATTGAGTGCCTTGCTTCCAGGGGGAGCGTGTATTGCTGGGACAACTCGACCAGAGGCCTCGACGCCAGCAAGTAAGTTGAGCCGCGCCCGGACGAAGGGATGCTTGCCGTGTTCAGACGAGCTAACGCCGGTTCCCCCCTCGCAGTGCTCTCGAGTATGCCAAAGCCATCCGCGCGTTGACAGATGTGCTTGGCCTGGCATCCGTTGTCACTCTGTACCAGGCCGGCAATGGCATCTACAACCTCTTTGACAAGGTGCTGGTCCTGGACGAGGGCAAGCAAATCTACTACGGGCCAATGAGCGAGGCACAACCCTTTATGGAGGGCCTGGGCTTCATCTGCGACGACGGCGCCAATGTCGCCGACTTCTTGACCGGGGTCACGGTTCCAACCGAGCGCAAGGTCCGCAACGACATGTTCCACAAGTTTCCCCGGACCCCGGACGACATCCGGGCTCGGTACCAAGACGGCAAGATTTACGGCCGGATGAAGGCCGAGTACGACTTTCCCGCCTCGGCCGGCGCAAAGCTCGAGACGGATCTCTTCCAGCAAGCAATCCACTTGGACAAGGAAAGGGGGCTCCCGAGGAACAGCCCCATGACGGTCGGCTTTGTCCAACAAGTCAAGGCATGTGTAATCCGGCAGTACCAGATTCTCTGGGGAGACAAGGCCACTTTTATCATCAAGCAGGTGTCGACAATTGTGCAGGCCGTCATAGCCGGCTCGTTGTTCTACAACGCGCCCGCAACTTCTGCCGGCCTCTTTGTCAAGTCTGGCGCGTGCTTCTTTGCGTTGCTGTTCAACAGTCTCTTGTCCATGTCCGAGGTCACCGAGTCGTTCAACGGACGTCCGGTTCTCCTCAAGCACAAGTCGTTTGCCTTGTTTCATCCCGCCGCCTTTTGCATCGCCCAGATTGCTGCCGACATCCCCGTCATTCTGTTCCAAGTCTCTGCCTTCTCCGTCGTACTCTACTTCATGGTTGGGCTGACCATGGACGCCGGCATCTTCTTCACCTTTTGGATCATTGTGGTAGCAACTACCTTTGTGGGTGCTTTCCCCCAGGTCCACGACATTTTCTGCCTGGACCCGAACCCGCTAACAGTTCTTCTCTAGTGTATGACGGCCCTGTTCCGGTCCATCGGAGCTTCGTTCAAGACCTTTGACGCGGCCTCCAAGGTGTCTGGGTTCCTCATCAGTGCGTGCATCATGTACACGGGGTACATGATTCAGAAGCCGCAGATGCACCCTTGGTTCATCTGGCTCTTCTGGATCGATCCTCTGGCGTATGCGTTCGACGCCCTGCTGTCAAACGAGTTTCACGGCAAGAGGATCAACTGCGTTGCCAACAACCTGATTCCGAGCGGCCCCGGCTTCAACAGCGTCAAGAACCAGGCGTGCGCCGGGGTCGGCGGCGCTGTTCCTGGCCAGGCTTTTGTCGACGGCGATGCTTACCTCGCGTCCTTGTCGTATAGCCACGCCCACATGTGGCGAAATCTTGGCGTCGTCTGGGCGTGGTGGGCGCTGTTCGTCTTCATCACCATCGTTGCTACAACTCGATGGCGCTCGTCCTCTGAGGCTGGCCCGAGCCTTTTCATCCCCAGAGATACCGCAAAGGCGTACGCAGCCAACCTCCAGAACAAGGAAAGGGACGAGGAGGGACAGCAGGAGGCCCCAGAGGCCGTCGTCTCGAGCGCATCCTCGGGAAGCTACATGAGCGACGGGAGCAGGACCGAGGCAGAAGACGACGCGCCGGGCGATCTTGTGCGCAACACGTCCGTCTTCACTTGGAAGAATCTATCGTACACTGTCAAAACGCCGTCTGGCGATCGACGGCTCTTGGACAATGTGCAGGGCTGGGTCAGGCCCGGAAACCTCACTGCGCTCATGGGGTCCTCTGGCGCCGGAAAGACCACCCTGCTGGATGTCTTGGCCCAGCGCAAGACTGAAGGGACGATTCGAGGATCGATTTTGGTGGACGGAAGACCACTTCCCGTGTCGTTCCAACGATCTGCCGGCTACTGCGAACAGCTCGACGTGCACGAGTCGTACGCGACCGTCCGTGAGGCGCTCGAGTTCTCGGCTCTGCTTCGACAGAGCCGCGAGACGCCCCGGAGTGAGAAGCTTGCCTACGTGGACACCATCATCGACCTGCTCGAGCTTCACGATCTGGCCGACACGCTCATCGGGGAGGTCGGCGCAGGACTGAGCGTCGAGCAGCGAAAGCGCGTGACGATTGGAGTTGAGCTCGTGGCCAAGCCCAGCATTCTCCTCTTCTTGGATGAGCCTACATCTGGCCTCGACGGACAATCTGCCTACCACACGGTTCGGTTCCTACGAAAGCTGGCGGCAGTCGGTCAGGCGGTGCTTGTCACGATCCATCAGCCGTCCGCACAACTCTTCGCCCAGTTCGACACGCTGCTTCTTCTCGCCAGAGGCGGACAAACCGTGTATTTCGGCGACATTGGCGAGCAGGCCTGCGTCGTCAAAGATTACTTTGATCGATATGGCGCGCCCTGCCCGCCTGGCGTCAACCCGGCGGAGCACATGATTGACGTCGTCTCCGGTGTGCTCTCGCAGGGCAAGAACTGGAGCGACATATGGCTGTCTTCGCCAGAGTACGAAAAGATGACGGCCGAGTTGGACGACATGATTGAGCGCGCTGCCGCGTCCCCTCCCGGGACCGTGGACGACGGCCACGAGTTTGCGACGTCCATGTGGGAACAGATCAAGCTGGTGACGCACCGGATGAACGTATCGCTGTACCGCAACACGGATTACGTGAACAACAAGCTCGCGCTGCACATCTTCTCTGCGCTCTTCAACGGCTTCTCCTTTTGGATGGTTGGCGACACCGTCGGCGACTTGCAACTCAAGCTCTTCACCATCTTCAACTTCATCTTCGTGGCTCCCGGCGTCTTGGCCCAGCTCCAGCCGCTCTTCATCCACCGCCGTGGCATCTTTGAGGCTCGCGAGAAGAAGGCCAAAATGTACTCGTGGGTGGCGTTCGTCACGGGCCTGATTGTTTCCGAGATCCCCTACCTTGTCATCTGCGCAGTGCTGTACTTTGCGTGCTGGTACTACACCGTCGGCTTCCCATCGAGCTCCGAACGAGCCGGCGCGACCTTTTTCGTCATGCTCATGTACGAGTTTCTGTACACGGGCATGGGGCAGTTCATCGCCGCCTACGCCCCGAATGAGGTGTTTGCGACCCTGGTGAACCCGCTGCTCCTCGGAACGCTCGTCTCCTTCTGCGGCGTCTTGGTGCCATATGCGCAGATCCAGCCCTTCTGGAGGTACTGGATGTACTACCTCAATCCGTTCAACTATCTGATGGGCAGCATGCTGGTATTCGACCTCTGGGGAAACAAGGTCACCTGCTCGCCAAGGGAGCTGGCCACGTTTGATCCGCCCAACGGAACCACCTGTGGAGGGTACCTCGAGGATTACCTGGCGCGGGGAGCAGGGAGCGTGGCCAACCTTCTCAACCCAGAAGCAACGACTGCCTGCAAAGTATGCTCGTACACCGAGGCACAGGACTACCTCAGGACGCTCAACCTGAAGGAGTACTACTACGGGTGGCGAGACGCGGGCATCGTCGCTCTCATGGTGTTCAGCTCGTATGCCTTGGTATATGCGCTGATGAAGTTGAGGACCAAGACTTCGAAGAAGGCAGAGTAGGCCAGCCTGGGGTTTTGTTTGCATGCAGCGCGCTTAGTCCAAGCCTTGGCCCAGCACTGCCGCGGAAGGCTGTTTCGCTGACAATTTCATGCTGGATCCAACTTGGAGAACACCGGGAAGTCGGCTTCGTGGGTTATTTGCGAAGGCATGGCCGGTCCTGTTCTCGTAGCAGCACTAGGTAGTTGAATAGTTGCAGGCTTTCAGGTGTTTGTTCTCGACATGAACATGGCTCGTAAACCAGCTCATGCAACGGCCCAGATCGGCAGCAAGCTCCAGGGGTTTGCCGGATGGGTGGCTCAACGGACACATTCGTGGTGGCGGGCAACAGAAGCCGGATGAATGTCTTGTAAGGCGAACAACGAGGGCTTGGCTTTGTTCCGGGCCTTGTGGCACGGAGGCCTCGGGTTCCGAGCAAGCCGTAGCTCGCGTGAGTTTTGCGGACAGACACAAGCACGCTTCGTACAACAGGGGTAAAGATGGCGTTGGACCGCTGCGGCGGAAGCACCAGACTCAGTTGTGATGACGGCTTGTAGCTACGCTGCTGCCAGGAAGCCTATTATACAGAAATGGATCGAGTGCGAGCACAGCGACGAAGTACATACACGGACCATGGGCCGGAGAGGGAGATATGACAAAAAACCCCCCCCGGCTCGCGGCCAAACGCCATAATTTCAAGTCCCTATCCGCGTAGATGCTTGCCCGAACGAATGCACGGGGTCAAAGTGAAAAGAAGAAGGGGGGAATACATACGCAGCCGTCACGGGGAGGCCTCGGAGAGGCAGCCACAGACCTAGTCGAACGGACACGAGGTCCTGCCGACGGTAGCCCAGCCGCGGAGCCTGTTGGCAACGTCGGTGGCATAGCAGTGGGTGGCGACGCCGGCCTCGAGCAGGCCGTCGGCCGCGACAGACCCCGAGTTGTACATGCGCGAGGCCTTGTAGTAGCCGGCGGCGCCGCCGCCCGCCTTGGCCAGGAGCTGCTTGAGCCCGTCGCCGTCGGGGGTGCCGTCTGTGCCGTCCTGGATCATGCCGACGATCTTGTCGGCCGGGCACGGGTTCACGTCGAAGCACGAGCTGGCGCCGTTGTGCGACTGCATCAGGCCGGGGTTCCTGACGCTGTACTCGGTCGTCGGCACGCGGACGCAGCCCCTGGACTCTTGCATGACGACGGAGAGCACGAAGCGGGCGTCGACGCCGGCCGCCTTGGAGACGGACAGGATGGCCGACTTGACGTCGGCCGTCTCCTTTTCCGAGTTGTTGGGCTGCGACCAGGCCGCGCACGACGTGGACATGACGGCCAGGTTGGAGGACCACATGGTTTCAAAGTCGGCCCAGGTGGACTCGGAGGGCCAGCCCGCGGCGGTGCTGCCGTCGCCTTTGAACACCTTGTAGACGACGGGGCCGGCTGGGGACGACCCCGAGGGGGCTGGAGCTGGAGCTGCTGCCGCTGACGACGGGGCTGGAGCTGCTGCCGCTGACGACGGAGCCGGCGCCGACACGGGCGAGCTCGGTCCCGGAGAGGGCGCGGGATTCGCTGCAGGTGCCGTAGACGCCGTGGGCTGGGCGGCCGAGGACGGCGCCGGCGGCGACGAGGCGTTTCCGGGCTGCCCGGCGTCTCCGGCGGAGCTTCCACCAGACACGGCCGCCAAGGTGCACTCGGAGCCAGCACAGACGCACCGCGTGCCCGCCGCGACGGCCATCCATTGGGGCGTGGCGTCGGCACCGACGCAGATGGCAAACTGGGTGCTGCCGTTGCACACGAGGGCGCCAGGGGTGCAAGCCCGGGCCCAGAGACGATCCGAGGCAGGGTATGCCGCGACGGCGGCAACGAGACCGACCAGGGTCGCCGGCGTGGTAGACTTCATCGTTTGTTGGGGGTTGGAAACGAAAGCGAACAAGAAGAAGAAGAGGAAGGAGAGGAAGAAGCAGAAGCTGCTCTCCAGAGAGCAAAACACGGCACTCCTCCTGGAAGATGCCGGGGCAAGAGCGCAACAGAAAAGCACGACGAGATGAAGTAAAGACTGAGCAAGGGCCGGCGTCTCTTCGGCCACGGCAGGGAACGTATGGTTATAAAAGTCGTCTTGGTCGGTCGACGTGGAAAGTGCTCAAGGAAAGGCGGCGAGCGACCTGCGCCAGGTGGTGAGGGAAGGGAACGACGGAGGAGACGGGACTCCGGCACGCTACAGAGAGCAGCAAACGCTCGCTGGTGATGCCGCGATGTTCAAGACCAAAGGACAAACCACAGTCAGGTCGGACATTGTGCTTTCCAAGCAGCTATATACCTGCCTAGGTGGGCAACTGTGAGACGGGCGCACCGGCGATCCCCCTTTTCCCTCGCCCGGCCGGCCAGGGCCACGGTGCCGGATCCCCTGCCCATTTGGACGAGAGCGTAAACGACTCGGCCAATTAGCCCCGGCGCCTTGGAGGCCGCGTTGTGCCAAGAGGCCGGCTCCATCGTTAGGACGAGTGCGCCACCGTCGATCAGTTGGATGGACGGTCCAGACTGCCCGAGGTGCCATGGTTTCTGCTTGTATAGGCAGGGAGACGGGCAGTAGTCGAGTTTCAACGTGTCCCCGTAGTGCATGCGGAACTCGGTCGACTGGCCGTCCTTCTCTCCCGAATGCTGATGCGGTTTGGCCTCGTCCGCCCCGACAGAAAGCAAGGAGGAAAAGGGGCTGCCATGGCAATAGCATGGCGTTCAGTTTTGCGACATCTTCGCTTGCAATAGCTGGATCCGGCCGGCCACGTCCTGCTCATGTGATGCGTGACAAGGCACACCAGAAAAGGCCGTTTGCTCTCTGCAGCCCGCTGTTCAACGCATTGTGCCGTGCCGTCGTCTTTTCTTTTGCTCCGCATCGGCGCGGCGGCTCGTCACTCCAGACGTGACGAGTCACGTGAGGCTCCCCGACCGCCACCTCCCCCTCCCGCCCTCTGCGGCGACGACGAGAGCCGGCTTTAATGTCAATGCCGTCCACACATCGTCGTGCAAGTTTTCTCTGCCTTGCCTGGCCTTGCCGTGGTCCGTCGCCCGTCGCCCGTCGCCCGTCGCCCGGCTTGCAATTTACCTACGCGCGCCTCATCCCTTTGCCACGGCTGTCTTGGCCAGCTCTCCGCGGCTCATGCTTGTCTCTTGCTTCTTGTTTCATGATGCGAGCTCGCCCGTCACTGTCGTGCCACCGTCCCCGTCCTCGTCCCCGTCCAGGCCGGCAGTCACTACCGGCACCCAGGCCCGCTCAGTAGATCGCGCAAGGACAGTCCGACAGTCCGACGAGGCCTCGACGGCCGCGTCTTCTGCCCAGACCTTCCCGCTGGCCTCTTGGCTCTGTCGCACATCAGGGCTCGCGGATCTGTCGAGCCGAGCCATCGCGTGCTGACAGGCCCTGGAGTCACAGTCTTGTAATCCAAGATGGACCCGCGGCACTTTGTAGTAACCGTCTGCGGATCTAGATTCAGACGTCCTCGTGACGGGGGGGGCGGGGGGGCTGGGTCTCTCCTCCGTTCGTTCTCGAGCGCCGTGACTTGCACGAAATCTACTAGGACCCTGTATTTCACTCTTTGAGGATGGTACTCCGAGGGTGCCTCTCTACGGTTACCCGACGCAGATCACAGTTGCGTCTGTGGCGTCGGGAAGCGCCGCGACGCCCCTTGCATGTGTGTATGTCGAAAGAGTAAGCGAATAGTTGATCCGAAGGAGGTGCGTGCTCTTGGGGATACCGTTCACGTCTACCGAGTAGAGTCTCACGCGACGTGGTGTTGCACGGAACTTGCGGTCAGAGCCAACCTCGACCGCATGACTTGCAGCGATGCAAAGGGTTGCTGGCCTCGCGACGGCTTCAATGGCCACCCCCCGTCAAAGGAACATGATGTTTGCTGCCCAACAGTCATTGCCGTCAAGATGGAGTTGAAAGGGCATCAAGTATGTCTCCTTTGTGAACAATTCCCGCAGGACCTGACGGCTGACGGTCTGTTGAACACATGACGCACATCAGTTGACGCCCCGTGTACTCCGCAGTGCAGGACCTGATGAAAAATCGAGATGAGTCAACAAGGACGCAGGCACAAGACTGTCCCTGGTTATTCTGCGATTCCACCTCTCCCTTGGCTCGACGCTACGTCGAGTCGCATTCTGGACCGGAAAGGGGGGGGGCCGCGCCTCGTGATTCGCCCTCCCACGCGCAGGGCTCCTCTGTTCCTGTCAGAGATTACCGACTTCAGACGATGGACGACCACCCGCCGGCGGATGAGTAATAACTCTCCTCAAGCTGCCTGTGAAGTCTGAACAAGACAGAAGATCCAGGCAACTGGTTCGGCTCCCCCACACGTCAGCCGTCAGGTGCTCGCTGCCGTCGCTCGTGATTATCTTCTAGCGGCTCGACTAGACCTTCGCTGCGCCGTCCCCTGGCACGCCCAGCCAGTCTTTTTTCGACAGTGTACAATGCACAGGTTGATGTTGCGAGCACGCCCGCCTCAGCAGCTCCTGGCGACGCTGCCCACCTCGCACCGCGCATCCCAGGACTCAAAACTCCATCGCGAGAGGCGCAACTGGCTCGGGGGACAGTCCATTGTTGTTGTGCCGTTTCCGGGCTTGGCCGTCCGTGCGTGACGTGACGTGAGATGAAGAAGCACGTCTTCTCTCATCTATACAGGATGACAGGCCAATTGGCGGTTCAGCCGGAGAACAATGTGTAGGGCGCCCCCCTTTCTTTTTCTTGGTGTTTTCCCGTTTTTTTTTTTTTGTTTTTTTTTTTTCTTCTCTCGCCTCGAGACTAACAATGACCCAGTTTACAGGCTGACTTGCTCCGGCGGATCAGCTGCCTGGTTGTGCCCGAGGTATACCACGCAGCATGGCATGGCATGGCTGGCGTCCGTGGGTGTGAACTGATGATGTGGTTTTGTTATAAAAGGACGTCCGTTGCGCGCTGCTCTGCGGGCGTCGTGAAGCATCCGTCCCTGCAGACTACTCGGTAAACTGGAACCATGGCCTTGACTCTTGTTTGGCAACTCGCCCTGTGGCTGACGGTGCTTGGCTGCACCGTCTCCGCGAAGCCGGTTGCCGGCGCGGTCCTCGACAGGAGGGCAGCGCCGGCGCTCCCGAGCCGAGATGCCTTCTACCGAGTCCCCGACGACTTGGATTCGCATGCTCCCGGTGCCATTCTCCGGCATCGGTCGCCGCCGAGCCCCATGGCGGCGCTGGGCTCGCGCGTCGTGCACCTGCATGCGAGCCACCAGCTCCTGTACCGGACGACGGACGGTCTCGACAAGGCGACGGCGACGGTGCTGACGGTGCTCGTTCCTCGCAACGCCAACTACAGCAAGGTGCTCTCGTACCAGGTCGCCGAGGACTCGGCCAGCATCAACTGCGCGCCGTCGTACGCGTTCCAGCTCGGCCACGACCCCGGCCCGGGCGACGGCACCAAGGCGACGCAGGGCGAGCTGTTCCTGGTGGAAGCGGCGCTGGAGCAGGGCTGGGTCGTCATCGTGCCCGACCATCTCGGGCCGGGGGGCGCCTTTCTCGCCAACGTGCTCTCGGGCCGCGCCACGCTGGACGGCATCCGCGCGGCCAGCAACTCGGGCGCCCTGACGGGCATCAGCACGAAGCCGACCGTCACCATGTGGGGATACTCGGGCGGCAGCCTCGCGACCATGTTTGCGGCCGAGCTGCAGCCGTCGTACGCGCCCGAGGTGGAGGTTGCCGGCGCGGCCGTCGGCGGCATCGTGCCCAGCATCATGACGGTGCTGCGGCAGGTCAACGGGACGGCGTCGGCCGGCCTCATCCCCCCAGGCATGCTCGGCCTCGCCCACCAATACCCCCGTGTCGACGCCCTCCTGAGACGGCACGTCCTGCCCGGGCGCCGCGAGTACTTCTACAAGGCCGCCCGCCAGTGCCTCACGGCCAACCTCGACGCCTACGCCAACCAGGACATCAGCCGCGTCTTCGACGAGCCCGACAGCGTCCTCGGCGACCCGGCCGTCGCCGCAATCATGGACGACAACGACCCCGGCCGCCGCGCCCCCCGCATTCCCATGTTTGTCTACAAGGCCGTGCGCGACGAGGTCAGCCCCGTGGCGGAAACAGACGCCCTCGTGCGAGGCTACTGCGGCGCCGGCGCCTCCATCGAGTACCTGAGGGACGAGAGCGCCAACCACGGCACCCTGGCCGTCGTCGCCGCTCCCGAGGCGCTCTCCTGGCTGCGGGGGAGGATGGATGGCCAGGGCCGCCCGACGTCGTGCTCGACGAGGACCGTCTTTTCTGCGCTGCTGGAGCCGGGTGCCCTGGCGCTCGTGCCCAAGGTTCTGCTGGATGCCATCTTGGACTTGCTGGGGAAGCGCGTAGGTCCCTTTACCAGAGGATGATGTCATGGAAAGCTTGTGTGGACGGTGCGGCGCCGCTCAGTCGTCTCGAGTATGTAGTTACAACTGCCCGTGTCTATGTAGCTGCCAATGGTATTTGTTTCATGCAACTTTCCTGCCTTTTTCCTTGTTGTTGTTTCCCCTCGAGATTCGGTCCGGGTCCCGTGTCTCCGTCGTCACCACGCAGGCCGTGGGACACCGCAGGCAGGAGGACAACAGGCACGCGCGCGCGCAACGGCATCGGAGCAGACGAGACGCCAGCGGTGCGTGCGTGCGTGCGCGCGCACTGACAGAGGCGAGTTTGTCTGTTGCCGGCGTTTTTTTCATGTGATGGCGCCCCAGGGCCGGGCGCGGCAAACTCTCGAGCCGCGACCCCCGTGGCGTGCACGCGGCATGCGGCATGCGGCATGAATGAACAACCCGTGCGGCTGGCCTTGTTGTCTCCTCTTGGCTTGTCGGACATGTAGTAGGCAGTCTAGTCTGCATGCTTCCCAGCTTCCCGAACCCAGCAGTAGTTTTGCCGGCACACGCTTCTCCCAGGTTAAAGCCGCCCAGGGGAACCAAAGTCGCTTCCACGGCCGGCGCCACCAGCAACGGATCCAAGGAACCACTCCAAGGTCCGGCCGACGCACAATTTCCCACGGTCAAGTCGAGGGAGAGGGGGGGGGGGGGGCACCCTCGATCGGCAAGCCCAAGGGGTCGACAAATCGCATTCACGAGACGGCGCCTCCCCCATGCCGCTGCTGTCTGGTACACACGTGCCGAGGCGCCGCGGCTACGGGCGGTCGTGGCCATGCGAGGCGTTTGGTCCTTGTCCTGCAGGCCGCAGCACGCCGGCGCCGGGGTGGGTTGAGATAAAAGTTGCCCGCAGCCCATGAGACGTCCAGGGAAGAGAGAAGCCTTGCCAAGTGTCCTTTTTACTCGGGTCGCGATTCAGTAACATCTGCATACCGCAACGAACTGCAGGGTTGGGGTTATCTTGCCTCTTCGTTCCCTTGGATTAGAACATCTACCCGACGCCCAACGCCAACGCCCACGCGCAAAACGCAGACGCAGACGCAACAGTCGCCTTGGGAACCATGGCTCACAGACAACAGCATGTCGACTACGACGTCGTCATTGTCGGCGCCGGCATCTCGGGCATCAACATGGCGTACCGACTGCAGGAGCGCAACCCCGAGCTGAGCTACTGCATCATCGACGGACGCCACGAGATCGGCGGGACCTGGAGTCTCTTCAAGTATCCCGGTAAGCAGAGCTCGCCGGTCGGGTTGAGCAGACAAGACACCGAGACTGACTGGACCGCGCGGCAGGCATCCGGTCCGACTCGGACCTGTACACCTTTGGATTCCCGTGGCGGATATGGGAGGAGAAGCAGCCGATTGCGCACGGCAGCCTCATCCTCAAGTATCTCAAGGAGTCTGCGGCCCAGGCGGGCATCGACAGGCACATCAAGTTCAACCACTGGATCCGCAAGATGAACTGGTCGTCGGCGTCGTCGTCGTGGGAGCTGGACGTGGACGCCAACGTGGACGGCGACGCCGCCGCCGCCGCCGCCAAGGTCAAGCTGCGCTCGCGCTTCGTCTTCCTGGGCACCGGCTACTACGACTACAACGAGCCGCTGCAGACGCAGATCCCCGGCATCGACAGCTTCAAGGGCACCGTGGTCCACCCGCAGTTCTGGCCGGCCGACCTCGACTACGCCGGCAAGAATGTCGTCGTCATCGGGTCCGGCGCCACCGCCGTCACCCTCCTCCCGTCCATGTGCGACAAGGCCGCGCACATCACCATGCTCCAGCGATCGCCGTCCTACATCATCGCCCTGCCGGAGAAGGACCCCGTCGACCGGGCGGTGCGCTTCCTCATGCCCCGCCCCGTCGCCCGGAGCGTCATCCGCTTCAAATGGATCCTGTCGGCCTTCCTCCTCACCACCTTTTGCAAGTGGTTCCCGCGGCTGGCGCGCGCCCTCATCCTCAGGCGGACGTCGGCAGAGCTGCCCAGGGGCGTCAACCTGGACCCCCATTTCACGCCGCGCTACAACCCCTGGGAGCAGCGCATGTGCCTCTGCCCCGGCGGCGACTTCTTCAAGTGTCTCAAGACGGGCAAGGCGAGCGTCGAGACGGGCGTCATCGACCGCGTCACCGCCGACACCATCAAGCTCACGTCGGGCCGGGAGCTGCACCCGGACATCATCGTCACCGCCACGGGGCTCAAGGTCCGCCTGGCCGGCGGCATCGCCGCCTCCATCGACGGCAAGCCCGTCGACATCTTGGACCGGCACGCCTGGAAGGGCTGCATGCTGGAAGACATCCCCAACCTGGCCCTGTCCTTTGGCTACGTCGACGCCAGCTGGACCCTGGGCGCCGACGCCACCGCCCAGCTCGTCTGCCGCATGCTCGCCAAGAGCACCGCCCAAGGCTACAGCGTCATCGTGCCCCGGCTGAGCGACGACGAGAAGGCCTCCATGACCTACCTGCCCTTTATGCGCCTCAACTCTACCTATATCCAAAAGGCAAACGGCATGTTCCCCAAGGTCGGCACCAGTCCCCAGTGGCGCCCGCGCACCCATTACTGGAAGGACATAGCCAGTGCCTGGTGGGGGAGCATCGACAGTGGCATCCAGTGGTTGAAGTAGGAACGAATATGGGAATGAAATAAATACCCCGTCATTTGGCTGTCCATCTTAGAGGAGTCTTTTTGTATCTTCCGTCTTTCATGCCATAGAGCCTACAATGATGAACAATCGAGGACCATCACCAATCGTAGCATCTGCAAGGGGGTCCAGACAGAACCAGAAACCGCGCTGTCTTTCTCCTCCCAAAACACATGGCCAAACACTGCGTATTTCGTCCTTGTTGAGCCCGTATCGTGCCTGGTAGCGCTCGAGTCGTATCTGGTGGCGGCGGCAACTGCTCGGCCGTGGGCTGGGCGCATACATTAGACGCCATCGACAGCTCCGTCACTCAAGAACATGATGAGGGCAGTTTTGTACATGTGGCTGGCTGCCGCGTCTGCCGTCTTGCAAGTGGCCGTGGACAAGGGTGGTCGGTTGGAGCAAGACGACGACAGCTATTCGTTGACTGGTAGTCATCCCAGGCCTTGTTTGCCTTGTGCCATCACGTCAAAATGTCACGGGCGTCGCCCAACTCTGAAGGAGATAGATCCGCACACATGGCCCGTCGCCAAAACTAGAGGCGCCTGTCTGTGATTAGCGCAGTCCCCAAACACCAAGTAGCGTGGATGATGCAGTCAACCTTGGTATACATTGGTAATTTCTTCCCGACTCTCAATCCTGGCTAGATGGTGGATAGCCCAGACCGTCGAATGGCCCTCTTCAAAATGTTCTTGAACTTGTGCTCAACGCCAACCGCCCGCCTCGTCAACACGACTAGAGCCTTTGGCACCATTGGTCTGGACAGGCTAGTATGGCGGCACACGTCAGATGTGTTTTGCTTGATGAGATGGAGGTGGCCGGGAAAGACCTGTTTCGGACCCGGTCAGGAGTCTTCATTTCCACATGTCACTGCAATCACATGTGCCCAGGTTCCGGGCCAGTGGAAATGCCGACTCGCGGATGCAGTTTTTCGAATACACGTCTGCTTCGAAGCACGGACGATCCTCCCAGTTGCGCAAATCCAATCGGCTTCGGCAAAGGGAGCAAGGTCCCCGGCCAAGACATAATTCTTGTCATGGTCTCGACTCTCGGGTGTGTCCGGCCCGCAGTCATGCATTATGCTTGTTCCCACGGGCCTATTATCCCCCTTGTTTCTCGCCCATGGGGTAGCAAAGGACTGTTACACTAGACCAAAGCGGGCTTCAGCCAACTTGACTCTATTTCTTATACCGTTTCTCGTCCCTGACAGAGAAAGGTCACTGGGGTAGTTGCGACAACCACGAAGGTTTACACTTGAAAATATTCCAAGTGCTCGAAATCGTCTGTTCGCCTATCGGCAGCGTTGTCATTCCTGGGCCCCCCGCTCCACGAGATACGCATCTGAACGACTTACCAGATCTTTGTTCGCTCCAAGCCGGTGTTTGTTTCGACATGGGACTAACCTCGACACGCCCTGCGGCAAGCTGCTCATTATCTGGTCCAAATTCGCCGCCAAGAACGCAATGGCCCCCATGTAGCCGACTGTCATATGAAGGAGCTTGTGTTGGGCTGGACTGCATAGTCGTGTACTACTGCTACGCTCGACGCACCACGACACTGTCCCGCACACACTCAGACGTGGCCCAAGGTATGATGACAGGTTCTGGAACAGATTTTCTCAATAATGAATGATACCCTGTGTGTTTGTGGCACTGTGGCCGGTCGGGCATGTGTCCGCATGGTCGACACAATGTCAGTACATGACTTCGGGTCTTAGTTTTTGACACGGCCGGCTTGAACATGTTGCGTGTGATGACACCGACTTTTGCATGTGTTGCCCTTGGTACTGGCCGTGGTGTTGCAGTCGAATTACTCCGTATGCAAACACTCACTAGTCAGCTGTCAAGTCCGTTGGTCACGAAACGGCCCTCAAATCATCCCAACCCATCGCCACTTTTCCCGTCTAGTCATAGTCGTTGGCATGGCCTTTGGTGGTCTCAAAAAAAGGAAGAAAAAAAAGGAAAAGAAAGAGAAAGAGAGACAACCCAACGAGTCCATTCGCGGCTACACTGAAAATAATTACGAATTGTAGATTTCTTCGCATCAGAATCGTCTGCGAAGGTCACAGGCGCTCGCGTTTGAAAATAAAACGGCTGGCGAAATCTCGGCGGAGGAATCTGCAACTCGGGCAATACACCGACGTTAATCAACTAATCTAAAAGCTTGAAATTAGAATTTTCATGCGGACATGAGTTTCTCTAATGCATTCGTTCTTTCCAAAGCAGGAAGCTAAAGTGATGTATGGTTGTGTTGCCAAGCCTCGTAGCTGCAGCTTCATGACTATGACACCAATTTTGGAAAACCAGGTGGCATTACTGATTGAGCACATCCGGCCACGGAAGCCACAGGGCTCTGGACAGCCTTGTTCTCTTTGACTGGACCAATTAATCAGAAGCAGAGCCAGAGATGAAACTTACCAAAGCTTTCCGTTCCATGTAACTTTCCTACGAAGACAAATTGACCACTCCTGGACAAGTCTATATCAATGCTTTGCCAGCGCTACGTCCTCGCATCCAACTCGCCGAGTCTTGAACGATCAGCCTCAAGCAGTACCACATGTAAAATAGTAGCCATATTACGTGATACATGTCTCAACTGGTCGCCAGTCTTGCCGAGCCCGCAGATGCCCAGCCACAACTTGCAGGGTTTCCAAGAGATCGTCGAGCCAATCAAAGCTACCGCTGAACAAAAATTTCCGGACAAGATGTCACGACCTGTACCTGTGAAAGGACGGTGTCGTTCAAAGTTCCTGGACGCATGCTTCCCCAGAAAAGACATGTGCACCTGTATAATCCTGGTACGCATGCCGAGGCCTTGTAACCTAACCCTAGCCCCGACTAGTAGGACAGGAGATGGGTTATGGTCAGCAGGGCTGGGCTGGGGAATCGGACATGGTGCCCATTATGGCTTGATCCGCACCAAAGCTGGGCTGGGAACCGGACATGGTACTCATTATGGCTTGGTGCGCACCAAATAAAGGTAAGCCAGATCTGGGGTAGCGCAAGGGTCGTAGATGCGTGCATCACTACAGCACAAAAAAAGCTTTCTTCTGTGCTGTTCCTCCTGCGTGCTTGGAGCACAAAATCGAATAGCTCATGAGCATTGTAGATGTGGCAGACTGGTGATTTCCGCTCGGGAACCTCGAAGCTCGTTGGACGGTGGAATAAAGACTTGGGCTGGATGTATCTGCGCTTCTTGTAAGTCTAGTGTTGAGTCAACTTCGAGCCAGAATTAATCCACCACAGTGTAAACCGATAGCTCGGCCCGGCTCGGCCCAGCCAGACCGACCGGCGACAACAGTCCAAACTTTTGACGGGCAAAAAGCAGCCCCTTGTGGCTAGCCCCATGACGAGTGTACAGGGCCTGCCTGAACTACCGATCGATAATGGTCGGCAAAACTTGACGTCCTTGACAAAAACTAGGGCGCATCGTGTGGCACACTGAAAAATATTCTCGCACTTCCCAATTCAAAGAGGGGGAGGGGGGGGAGGTGGAACACACTGTTGCAGAACCTGCGAAATAGCGCCGGGAGATGCGCCACGCGTGGAGGACAGTTTGGCTCATGGAGAATGCTATCGACTCTGTCGTGCATTCCGATACAGGATAGTCAAGCCCGACCTTTCCCTTGGGAGCAAAGGCTGTAAGATACATGGTGTGCTGCACTAGAGCGGGTTGAGGGAATAAAAGTATAAGATGGTGAGAATACCCTCGACTTGATGGTGCAGACTTTTGAAGATAGCAGTCAGATTCCATTTGCTTCAATTGGCATCGCAGTAGTGACAGCTGGCTGAGAGGTCTATTGCTTCATGTCGCTTCAGCCCAACGTCTTTTTCCATACTTGATCCAAAATGCGTTTCTTAGAGGCGGTTCTTGCTAGCCTCGCCTGTGGCCTTGCCACGGCTATGCCCGCGTCCAGTATGGAACATACGGCCATGGAAAAACGCAACTTCAACCTGAATAACTTTCTAGCCCTGATTGTGGAAAGTTTTCCGGTGGATGTTCCAGTCAATGGCATTTGTCAAGCGTTGGGTGTGGGTGAAACGGTCTTGGCTGCGGCATTCGGCCTCAACATCAATGCTAACAGTCGTGGATGCGCCGACGTCATGGTCGTCTTCGCACGAGGCACTTGCGATCCAGGCAACGTTGGCGCTCTAGTCGGACCACCCTTCCTGAATGCAGTCAAAAAGGCCATCGGGTCCTCCAACTCGGTCACATTTCAGGGTGTTGAGTATCCGGCGTCGGTTGACGGTTATCTCAGGGCAGACCCAGCTGCTGGGGTGACCATGTAAGTCGAACTTGACAACCACAACCGCCCTCCTTTTTTCTTCCAGGCGAGATTCCTGGGCTGGTGTGCGCAACACGTGCTGACACAACTCGCCAGGGCCAAAATCGTGACTGACACCATTGCCAAATGTCCCGGGACAGAGTTTGTACTGAGCGGATATTCCCAAGGAGGCTATGCTGTTCACAATGCGGCCAAGGATCTTGACGCCAAGTCCATGTCCAAGGTCAAAGCCGTGGTCATTTTTGGGGATCCAATGTCCAAGCAACCGGTGCAGGGCATTGACGCGAACAGGGTGAAGATTGTTTGCCACGAAGGAGACGACATCTGCAACGGCGGTGTTTTCATCAAACAGCAGCACCTCACGTATGCTGAGGATGCAGAGTCGTCTGCAGCATTCGTGGCTTCAAAGCTCTGAGGCCCTGGCAAACTGAAGCGTCTTCCGCTGCGACACAGAACATGGGTATGCAGCGGGCATGCCTTGCCTCATTGTACATGGCAAGTACTTGATGAATAAATAGTCTTGAAGAGCCATCTCAACGGTTGGATTCGCCGTGGTTGTACGTTGGCGCCTGGTGCATGTCGTGTGTCTTGTGTGTCGTGTCGAACCAAGAAGGGGAGCATTCGAAGTCGCAATTGTGACAAATTGGCCAAGACTTGACCACTGATTCACCGGGTTGTGACTAATAATGGTGACACGGGAGGGAAGGAACACGCGGAGGGGCTCGCACCTGCCGCCCCACCATCCGACCAAGTGAAAGTAAGCACGTGCACCTGGCCAGGCTTGAAGTTGTTATCTTTCCGCAATGCACATCACTTCCGTGCCAACATTGAATATGATGCTGCACTCCCAGGCTCGCCTGGCCGATCAAGGCGGCGGCCAGACGGCTTGCGACGGTGGCATGATTGTCCTTGAGTCCTCCAGTGACCACCTACTCAGGTAACCCGGGAGCATGTGCACAATTCGCCGCGAGACACTTCGACGGGCCAACAATGCCATTGTTGCAACGTGGACGGGCAACGCGGTCAGTAACCACCAAGACTGGCTACACGGAATGTCGCGCCTGGTCCGGCAAGGCAGTCTCTGTTGCCCTTCGGGGCCACATCTGCTCGCTCGGCAGCATCACATGCCCCACCGCAGCAACGCTTGTGCCTCAGTCGGTCCCAGTCTCCAGTCTCCAGAGGTCCAAGCCGCCCACATTCTTGTCACATCCATCAATCTCATCAGTCACCTGTTAAACACCACCCCGAGTTTTCGCCAGATCGTCGTCATCCGTGCTCCGCCCCGCTCCACTTACCGAACCCAGGTTCTTCGTCCTACCTCGCTGGGGCCCCGTCTGGAGGTCGATCCAGATCCTCATATTTCATGCGCCTCGCATGCAGTATCCTGCCCGTCATTCTCGACGCCTGTATCCGCGCGGAGCGATGATTTCCGATCCACCAGCCACAACATATATCAACGACATGCCGGACGACAAGGACGTAGTCGTCATTGTCGGCCACGGCCTGGCAGGCCTCGTGGCAGCCTACGAGTTGTCAAAGCGCAACGTCCCAACCGTTATTGTTGATCAGGAAAATGCCAACAACATTGGTGGTCAAGCCTTCTGGTCGCTCGGCGGCCTCTTCGTCGTCAACTCTGCCGAGCAGCGCCGGGTCGGCATTAAAGACTCGCGAGAGCTAGCAATGCAAGACTGGCTCAATTCGGCACAGTTTGACCGCCAGGACCAAGACCACTGGCCTCGACAATGGGCAAGAGCGTTTGTGGATTTTGCTACTGATGAAATGGAAGACTACGTCAAGGATCTCGGCCTGACATTCATGTTCAACGTTGGCTGGGCGGAGAGGGGCGGCGGGAAGGCAGATGGCCATGGAAATTCCGTGCCGAGGTTCCATCTTACGTGGGGTACCGGCCCCGAGGTTGTTCGAATCTTCAAGGAGCCCGTATTGAGAGCTGTCAAGGACGGAATTGTGCAATTTAAGCACCGCCACGCAGTTGACGAAATCATTGTCGACCAACAGACGGGCAGAGCCGTTGGAGTCAAGGGTCGCATCTTGGAAGAGGACGACGCTGCGCGGGGCATCAAGTCATCACGCAAAGAGATCGACACCTTTGAGCTTCGAGGTGCCGCCGTTCTGGTGTCATCTGGCGGTATTGGTGGCAATGTCGAAGCCGTAAAAGCTTCGTGGCCCATGGACCGACTCGGCCCCAAGGTACCTGAGCACTTTGTGGTCGGCGTGCCGGCTCATGTCGACGGGCGAATGGTTGGCATCTCGGAAAAGGCTGGAGCCCATGTTATCAATCGCGATCGTATGTGGCACTACACTGAGGGCCTGCACAACTGGAACCCCATCTGGCCGAGGCACGGCATTCGTATCCTTCCAGCCCCCTCCTCTCTGTGGCTGGATGCTGCCGGAAACAGGCTGCCGCCTTACTTGTTCCCCGGGTCCGACACGCTCGGCACGCTGAAGCACATCTGCCACACGGGCTACGATTACACATGGTTTGTCCTCAACCAGGCCATCATCGCCAAGGAGTTTGGTCTCTCGGGGTCGGAACAGAATCCAGACATCACCGGCAAGAGCGTCTGGCAGCTTATCGGCCGAGTGTTTAGTGGCAAAGGGCCGATGCCTGTGCAGAATTTCATGAAGCATGGCGAGGACTTTGTAGTCAGGGATACTCTTGAAGACTTGGTCGACGGCATGAACAAGCTTGGCTCGGAACGAAACGGGCCGCGCTTGGAGTTGGACAAGATCAAAAAGGTCGTCGAGAGCAGAGACTCGCAATTCGACAACGCATACTCCAAGGATGCGCAAGCCATGCTGATCAACAACGGTCGAATGTACTGGCCCGACAAGTTGTCCCGAGTGGCGAAACCACACAAGATCCTGGACCCGTCAAAGGGGCCGCTCATTGCCGTACGCCTGAACCTGCTTACTCGCAAGACTCTGGGAGGGATCGAGACCAATTTGCAGAGCAACGTGATGCGGGCGGACGGAACCGCCCTCCCCGGTCTGTATGCTGCCGGTGAGGTGGCGGGCTTCGGCGGCGGCGGCGTGCACGGGTACAACTCTCTCGAGGGCACGTTCTTGGGGGGATGCATCTTTTCTGGGCGCGCCGCGGGGCGGGCGATGGCGGATGAGATTGCTGGAACCCAGGCCCGGCCATGAGGCGCTCGAGTCGTGTCTCGATCGGATGCGGAGATGGATGGCAAAGGCGGACAAAAGAAGCTTGGCTTGGATGCGGCTCGGCAAAGCACCTTGGTAGGTAGGTAGGTAACTCATCACCCGACTTGTAGCTGATAGTAGTATATGATTTATACCCACAACGTCTACTCCAAGTCTGCGTTTGGACGGTGAATACGAACGCACTGGCCAGTAACCTGCAATTGATGGGACGTCGTCCAGCGGAGACTGTGTGTCGTCATGGCCAGTTGCCGCCTAACCCTCGTGCTCTCACGTCTCGGCCCATCAGGTCGGGCTTCGCTCGCCTCCTGGTGTCGCTCTGGGCGTCGGTACTGCCGGGGATGTATAGAGAAGTCATGCGTCCGTCCGTCCTCGCCGGATCCGGCGTGCCACACAGTCCAGTCCAGTCCTGGTGTTGTCGACAACTCCCTCAGTCGCTTCCAAGCGCCAACATGCGCCTCTCGACCATGCTCAGCTTCGCCGGCCCGGTCACCGGCTCGCCTGTTTGCCAAGTGCGCCAAGTTGGACGACGTGCCCGACGGGTCGTTTTTCCAGCCACGAGTTCGCCTATGAGACGGCGTGCTGCGACGACGTCGCTGCCATTGATTGGCCCGAGTGGCGTCCTCGGTGAGCAAACACTTTTCTTGCCCCTGATACTGGTTGCGCGATCAATCATTGGAGGCGAGGGGCGCACGTGTGCCGTGTTGAATATTCCGTTGGAAGTTGCGCATCACCGGCGAAGCGATATAGATTCTCAACTCACGCATCCCATCTGTACCTGCATACGTAATTTGATTTTTGGACCGCTTGCCAATGGCATCGCGAATCGTGTACCTTCTTGGTAGACCGCCGCCGTCGGCTTTGTGACGCTGTAGATGGTCGAGTCGGCCGTCCATCTATCCATCGTCACGGACTCGGGGGGCAGTTTCCCCATCAGACAGCTTCCCGACTTGCTCGTCGGCAATCCAATCCGATCCTGGCCCTCGCCCTCGGGGCCGGGAATTCCCGCTGGAATACTCCGCGCAACATCGGACGTTGCGACAAGGCCTCGGGCTCGGGATACGGCGCTTGGGGGGGAAGAAGAAGAAGAAGGAGGAGAAGGGGAATAATAATAACTCGACCCGACCCAGCCCAAAGTTTGTAATAACTGGCGATGCCCCCTTTGGCTGTCGCAAGCAGCATGTCCCCGGTCCATCTCGAGACCCACGGCCTGATACCAAGGAAGTTGTGCGCACACGATGATGCGACAGAGAGGCGGCAAGGTTTGTTAGACGGAACTTGCAGTCGACCGCACGACTTGCTGCAAGGCACAAGAGGCTGCAGCATGCAGGCCGCGCGATTTCTTCGCCCCTCCCCTTGATGCCCAGCCGGACCTTGGACTATACGTGACTCCGTATATCATATATGTGTGCGTGTTGTGTACGGAGTATACGCAGTACATACATGTATACGTGTGTGGAGTAGCCCGATTGGGGTGGCCATCAAGGTCCCCCTTCCTCTTCCTTGTTCAACCTGGGACTAACTATACAGGTTCCCGACATTGACGTCCAATCACAGGCATAGTCTGAGCCTTTACAATACAAGTCCTGAACATTGAGCTGCAAAATCCGGCCCTTGTCAAACATGATAGTGTGCCCTCTAGGGCTAGAGGCATCACGTGACATGATGTGCCCGCTGCAGCCGAACCGTCGGGAGGAAGTTGTGCAAGCCGTCGGGACGAGTATGATTGTCCCGATCGGGCTAGTCCGTGACCCCTGTATCCAGTATTTTGGCTTTACGATTGTAATAAAGTTGGATAAGCACGTAGTTATTTGTCGCATCGACCCTTCTTTCCGTGAGTAATAGTATTTACGTGGCAGTATACCAGGTAACTAGCAAGGAGCATGGTGTGTTGTAGAATTCTGCTTGCTTTTCAGACCAACACCTCACTGTTCTATTGCTTTCGGCCTGGAAACTCACTCGCGCTGCTACATGGTCGTTGGTTGGAGAAGAGACGTCTTGGAGAAAACGTAGTCTGGACTTGGGATTCCCCGCCCCCACCCCCGCCCCCACTCCCGCCCGGGTCGGCGAGCAAATAGCCGAATAGTCGAGTCGGGTCATTTATACTCTCATACTCATAGCCCGCGCAACAACATCATCGACGACGACGACGACAAGTGTACAGACTGCCGACTAACAGGCGTCAAAGACACCACGGCGCGGGGTGTTGACGGGCCGTGCATGACGGCCGCTCAAGGCGACACAGGACACATGGATGCATCGCGCAACGGAAAGTTCCCCAAGGCAAAGAGCAGCTGATTGATTGATTGATTGATTGATTTGAGGCGGAGGGGCTGCGGCACGGCCAATGCCAGTGCCGGTGCCGGTGCCGGCTGGGGTTTCCCATCACCACCAGGCAGGTAAGCACAGCCTCGTGGTCGACGTCGGAATGCCATGCGGCCGGGTCAATCCGAGGCGTGGGCGGCAAATGCCGTAGAATGCCATCGCGGACTCGGCAAAGGCACAAGAAGACGAGACGAAGAGGAGGAAGAGGAAGAGGAAGAGGACGAAGGAGAGAAAGACGACAGGGACCAGGACAGAGGCCGGACGGCAACAACACAACACAGGGCCGGTCACGGACAAGGTTTCAAGGGATGGCTCTCGTCTTTGCAGGCTCTGGCCCCTCTTGAGGCGCGGAATAGAATTTCGATATTGCACCTTGGCGTCGAGATGAGGTTCGACATTCGACACGACGAGATGAACCTTGAGGGAAGGGAAGTCGGCGCCATGGTCTTTTGCATTTTTGCTGCTATCTGTTTATTTTATTTTTGCGAGCGAAATGTTGCCGGCCCCACCTACGCCGTGGCAAGATGCCGGAACCCAGGAAGGAGTCTGGCGAGGACTGACGCTATTCCCGCCAGGCGAGCACGCAGGGCGTCTGTCCGGCTATAAGTACCACGGTGCCGTTCCAGATGATCGACTGCTACAAGACAGACCTCACCAAGACACTACTAGTACTCCTCCAGAGGATCCAACGCCCCCGACACCCTGCCCCGCCTTCCTTGTCAAGCACGCAAAGATGAGACTCACCGGCCTCGTTCTCGGCCTGCTGGCCGCGTCGTCGACGGTTCTCGCCGTCGCCGCGGAACCCGAGTACGACTCTCGAACCCAGGAGAGCGTGAGGCAATACCTGGACGAGTACATCAGAGACCTCCAGGAGGGCTTCCACCTAGACCCCCAGAACCGTCCTTACAAGACGCACAGGATGCTCACGGAGTCGACGTGCATCCAGTCGGTGGCCATGTGCGCCACCACTTCCTTCTGGCTCCGGGACCACATGCAGATTGACAACAAGACCATCATAGCCATCAGCTTTGACGACGAAAAAGTGCGTCAGGTCGTCAATTTCTCCCCGGACGTCGTGTACATCCAAATCACCGAGACGACGTCCCACCTGGACGGCACCACCAAGGGATGGACGGCGGGCGCAAGGCTGACGGCCAAGGGAATCAAGGGCACCCTGGGAGCCCTGGGTGGTTTTGCGCCGTCGCTCCTCGTCTACGGGAACTACTCGAGCGCCAGGAGCCAGCAGGATGAACAGACGAAATCCAGCTCCGTCGGGTCATCGTGCAGGCCCGGACACGTGTGCGACATTATCAAGGTGACCTTTGCCGCCACCACCAAGGGGAACTGCAAGCGCACGGCGCACTTGGAGTGCAATGGACATGAAGAGAACGTCTGCGGGAAGGGCAAGACGTACGGGTGCTCGCAGCGCATCTCGTACCAGCAGGAGCAGTGCCGCGACGCGGACGAGGCGTTTCCCTGCACCGTCACGATGCCGGTGCAGGACGCGTCTGGTCGGCCGCTCGTCAAGCTGCTCAGCATTTCCTCCAAGCTGCGCACCGGGTCGTCCGGGGACAAGGCGAGCCGTCTGAGGGCTCATGCCCGGCGGGGGGGCGCTGACGAGGACCCCATCGTCGAGTTTATCAATTAAATCGTCGGTTGGGCGGCCGCTGTGAACATGTCCGAGGCAGCGCCGGGCATCCGTCTCGAATCGCGAGTCAAACGGGCCGTCTGGGACCAGGGCCCCCCGGGACGTTGGGGGACGCGCGCCGCCAGGAGGACGATCCGGTTGGGACCATGTGCAGCGAGGCTGGCTAGCTAGATTGGCTCTTGATATATGTCAACATGAACGTTTGTAAATACACGACATGTGCTGTCCCCGCAACGCTGGTCCGCACGTGACTCGGCCGCCCGCGCGGCCACGTGGACGGGTCCCCTGGTGTCACACCAAAAACCAAAAACCGGCTTGTGGCCACACCGCCCTGTTTCGTGTCCTCGTTCCCCTCGACGTGGATGACCGACTTTGACCGAGACAAACCGCCGCGCCGCTCTCCGACATGACGTGCTCGCAGCCCAGAAGGGTCCGGGGTCTCCCGTCTCTCGTCTCCCAAGATGCGGACGAGTCTGCGGGAATAGAATGGAGGGCTGCGGGGCCGCGGCGATGATGCATCGAGGGCCTCGAAATTGCGCCATCGCGCCGGGTTTCGGCGGCGGCCCCTGGACGCAGGAGCATCCAGAGGGGGAGGGCGAAGAGGACCAAGACCAAGACGGACCCGGCATGCCAGCGGCGAGTATTCGTGCCTCCCTTGCCCCCCGAATGCCCTCTGTTTTTGCGAGACGCCACGCCAGCGACAAGTTGCAACCCGCACACATATCCTCGATCGCCATGGCGCAACTCATCCCCGCCTCGCAGACGGTCCTGCTGCTGCGCGCGCCCAGGCAACAGTACGAGCTTGTGGACGGCTATCCGGTGCCGCAGCTGCTGCACGCGTCCGAGATGCTCGTCAGCACCAGGGCCATTGGCCTGAATCCGATTGACTGGAAGGCGCCGTGCGTTTGTTTGTCCCGTCCGGTTCCGACTCGCGCCCCAGAGGCCGCCGCGTGAGCTCGTGGCTGACGCCAGACTCTCTTCTCTGCAGGGACTTTGACCTTGGACTGCCGCAGCTGCCGTTCATTGCCGGGAGAGAACTGGCCGGCGTGGTGGCGCGCGTGTCGCCGCACAACACGAGGTGGAGGGTGGGCGATAGGGTACGTGGCCCGACTGCGACTGGCGGCGGCGGCGGCGCTCATGCTAACGGGGCCTCGTCCTTCCCCCCCGGCACGGACGGAGCAGGTGACGGTGATCTCGACCGACTACCGCGACGTGCGGAAAGCGGCGTACCAGCAGTTCGTCGTGGCGCAGGAGCACACGGTGGTGCGGCTACCGGCGCACATGTCGTACGAGCAAGGGTCGACGTTTGGCGTGGCCTTTGCCGCGGCCGCTCTCGGGCTGGGTGTCTCGCTGGGCGCAGACTTTTCCGGCGTGCTCGACGGGCCGGATCTGTACGGCGCGGTGCGGCGTCTCGGGCCGCACCGCCTGCCGCGCGACGTCGTCGC